ATGTGTATGCGTGTAACATTTGTAGTTAAGTTATGATCTATATATTTAAACAGTACTGTACATGTATAACTGTTGCATATTTCTGTTAACACATAAACACTTAATTTTGAATTTTATTATCTTCCGGATTTTATGTAATGTAATTAGTTTCGTATTACAAACAATTATGTGAATAACTTTAGATGTGTTTTTCATAAAACAGTTGAATGACGACTGTATGTACTACTAAATCACGTAAAAGAGAACCCACAAAAGTTCAACCAACACTTGTCAAATAAATAAAAGATAAAAATTTGTTTGTCTACATTTTTTGTGTTAGTTAGTTAGTTGTTTATGTAACTTGCTAGGAATATTGCTTGCTGGCACTGACCAATCATCATACAAAGTTTGATTATTCTAGGCCTAAGCGTTCTTTAGTTATTTATCGGAAACCATTTTTACCTACAAGGTCAATGTGACCTTTAACCCCTTGACCCAAAATCAATAGATGCCATCTGTTGGTCATGACCAATCACCATACCAAGTTTGAAGTGCCTAGGCCTAAGCGTTCTTTAGTTATTGATCAGAAACCTATTTTACTTACAAGGTCAATGTGACCTTGACCTTTGACCCCTTGAACCAAAAAACTCAATAGGGGTCATCTGCTGGTCACGACCAATCATCATACAAAGTTTGAAAGTCCTAGGCCTAAGCGTTTTAAGTTAATTGATATGAAACAGTTCTTACCTACAAGGTCAATGTGACCTTGACTTTTGACCCCTTGACCCCAAAATCAATAGGGGACATCTGCTGGTCATGAACAATCACCATACCAAGTTTGAAGTTCCTAGGCCTCAGGGTTCTTAAGTTATTGATCGGAAACCGTTTTTACTTACAAGGTCAATGTGACTTTGACCTTTGACTCCTTAACCCCAAAATCAATAGGGGTCATCTACTGGTCATGACCAATCACCATACAAAGTTTGAAGTTCCTAGGCCTAAGGGTTCTTTAGTTATTGATTGGAAAACGTTTTTACCTAAGAGGTCAATGTGACAATGACCTTTGACCCCTTGACCCAAAAATCAATAGGGGTCATCTACTGGTCATGACCAATCACCATACCAAGTTTGAAGTGCTTAGGCCTTAAGGTTCTTAAGTTATTGATCGGAAACCGTTTTTGCTTACAAGGTCAATGTGACCTTGACCTTTGACCCCAAAATCAATAGGGGTCATCTACTAGTCATGATCAATCACCATACCAAGTTTGAAGTTCTTAGGCCTAAAGGTTCTTTAGTTATTGATCAGAAACCGTTTTTGCTTACAAGGTCAATGTGACCTTGACCTATGACTCCTTGACCCCCAAATCAATAGGGGTCATCTACTAGTCATGACCAATCACCATACCAAGTTTGAAGTTCCTAGGCCTAAGGGTTCTTTAGCTATCACTCGGAAACCATTTGGTCTACGGACCGACGGACCGACAAGTGCAAAGCAATATACCCCCTCATCTCCGAAGTGGGGGCATAATTATGACATGAACATTGCTATTCTCGAGAAAAACGAAAAGACCTGATAAAAAGTTATATAATTATCATTAATACGGCTCTTGTACTTTGTACGTCACCTAATTTGAACTTGAAAGTCGAGTGGTTAGGAATAGATACGGGATTACATCATATCAACGTATTTAACATATTTCAAAGGCAGGTGTACTGGATACAGGTTGCAAATATTTCAATGGACGTTCCCGGTAGAAAAGAATTCGAATTATCCGACAATGACGAATGCCAGCCATATCAGGGAGACAGCAATGCTGTGCAATCAGAGATGTGCTGTAAGTTTTGTAATGAGTTTATATGTGCATCATGTATCAAGGCACACAGGAGGTTTGAGACGAAGAATCACAAAGACAAATTATCAAAAAGTCTGGATCAAACCGACGATTTCACGGAAATCTGCGACGTCCATGAGAACGAGATAGTAAAGTTTTACTGTAAAGTTCACGATAGCGTTGGATGTGGGGATTGTATTGTTCTTAAGCATGCTTCTTGCAAGGTTCAGCTCGTGTCAAACGTATCCAGTAACTATGGCGACTGTGACGAACTTTTAGAAATCAAACATAGAATTGACAATCTTAGAAAGAATCTTGCTTCCTGTAATGAAGAAATAAAACGCAGTCTTAAAACTGCTGAGGAAATAAAGACTGATGCTATCAGAGAAATTAAACAGTTCCGCCAGGAAATTGACAACTATCTGAACAAAATGGAAGCAGATATTTTACAAAAAGTTGATGAAGTGAATGCTAAAGATGTCTCTTCACAGGAAAAGCTTCAAGATCAATGCAAGACACTGACTGCTGAAATTGAAGAATTTCAAAATAAACTTGAACTGTGTAAAGACAACAGTTTATTTGTCACATCTAAACGCGCACTGGAAAAGCTGCAGAAATTCCATGAAATGAATGAGGAAATTTCAGCTAAAAGTCAAATCAACGCCTTTGAATTTAAATCATCCGAATATATAAATGCATTACAAATGCGAAACAGATGCCTTGGCAATCTAAGTACGAAAATACAGAAATTTGAGGGACACTGTAAAAGAACTCTTATTGGGTCAAAGGCACAATTTGTACAGAAATATAACATGCAGGGCAAAAAAGAGACAGACTGTTTCATAACAGGAATGACGATTATATCAGAAACTGAAATTATGTGTGCGGATAAGAGCTCATTAAAAGTCTTAGATCATAGAAAGGGTAAAGTTACATCAATATTGAAATTGTCAAGTCTTCCCGCTGACGTTACAACTATAAATTCTTCATATGCTGCAACAACTTTACCGAATGAAGGCAAAATATTGTTTGTGATTACACAAAGTGGGCTGACTAAAAGTCACAGTCTGGATGTCAGGAAAGGATGTATGGGCCTAGATCATCGTAATGGTATGATGGCAGTGTCGTTCACTAAACCTTCCGCTGTTCAGGTTATAAACATGGACGGACAAATTATTCATGTAGTGAAAGAAACAAGCGTACTTAAATCGCCATTATATGTGTCCATCAGTAACGATAATAAAAACATGTTTGTATCTGATATAGGTAACGAAGCTGTACATGAATTTACCACCAAGGGAGTGCTGAAAGATACGACAAAAAGTGAGGAGATGGGATCGCCATTAGGCTCGACAGTTACCAGCTGTGGATGTGCTGTTGTTTGTTATCCAGGTGAAGGGGATAAAGTTGGACTGATTGTATCTGGTACAAGAAAAATACTGCCTTTCTACCTGCAAAATGTACTAAAACCGGCCTCTATCCTGATTTCTGAAGAACAAAACAAAATGTTTATCAGTGAACATTTAAAATCAGCAGACTGCAATTTCATAAAAATATTTGACTTAAAGTAACGTTGTCGTGTAACATGAAAAATATTTTAGTACTAGTAATACAAGTTAAACCTACCAGGGAAACACTTAGATTATGTTTATAAACAGGAGTCCAAATATAGAGGATTTATCTAAATTCTTTAAAGATATTATTGATAAAAAGCTTACATAATTAACAGCATAGTCGAGTTCTCAGAAACATAATGGTTGGCATAAATGCTAATAATAATTCGGTAAAAAATCATGATTGGAAATATGTATGACAATTATAACCAATTTAAAAACACCCTATGATAACCAAATCCGAATTATTTCCAACAGGTATACATTTTGTACTTTCGGTTTATGATAAATCATAAGTATATAATAAATTTAGGTTGACTTTAAATACATGCAACTAGTTAAATTGGAATAAACTTAGTTAAACTACTGTCTGTTTATGTGTTTGTGTCTGCATAGGTTTTTCCGAAATACCGAATCCGGTCTTTGTATTCTCACTATTGTTTTCGAGGTTCTTATACGAAGTTTGACGAAAAGGGCCGAGAACTTGAATTGTCAAACTTCTATAGCTACGGGTGTTATGTCATACACGGTAAGCCTCGTTACCGCCCAATGTGGGCAGCCCCCACCGACGAGACGGATATTCCGATTCGAACCGGAACATATGACAGATATTATAAATATCTTTATAGAAAACGATGAAATAATTAAAAGAAACAGGAAAAACATATTTGCGGTTTTGTTACTAAACTTTGCATCGTTTGTTTAATGATCGCAAATATAGTTAGTTACTTTAGCAACCTCTAAACTCAAAGTAATCTTCCCAAAATCAAGATGGCTCAACTGTTTTATTTTTTTTGAAAACAGCTTATATTAAGTTTTATTGATATACATGATAAGAATATGTGATGGGAATTGTATCAATTTTATTCAGATATTAAGGCGTTTGGAGCGTTTGTGATACATTCTGATTGCTTCAGATGGACTTCTAGGAGTTTAATATCGTCAGATCTCAGCGACTTTAAACAAACACAGCTCTTCCTTCTCATAAGAAGCAGAACATACTTTGTCTTAGAATCAGTAGAATATTCCGTGGTTTCTTTGTGCACTGTACTAAATATTTTAAATAGACTACAACATTTGAGAACTTGTAACAACTACATTGTATATTAAAGTATTTTTTCGTGTTCAGGACATTAAAGATAGAGCTATATGTTGTTAACAACATTAGGTCCTTCTATATTGAAACAGTTATTTCAGTATAATAATTCATCACAGTGGTAAGATCAGTGCCACTAGATAAAATGATTTATCCGCCTATTTAACGGGGGAGTTATTCTCACCAGAGATGTGTAGTAATTGCAAATTAATACGCATGCTTTTTTGTTGAGTTTTAAGTGACGTCGATACTGTAATGGCCATATGGCGACTTTCTAGCTTTATTGGTGGATTAACACCTCAGATGCCCTCAATACATTATTTCAGCACTATCAGGTACTCGATTAAAATCACCGACGTTCCGTTTGCTTAAAGCTTGATAGCTTACTCACATAGAAGAATTCAAAGTTCCTGGTGCGATTCGAACCCACAATGGCGAGGGGCAAGTAGATAATAAGTCAACGATCTCAACTACTCGGCCACGGACGCCACATTTTATTTCACTATCTTTACGTAATAAATATAGTAGAAAATAATCAAGTTGAACTTAATTATAACCATCAATATGCCAAGATTTAAATACGAACGTGCATTTTATTCCAACAGAGAAAAATCAACAACACAAAACAGATTTATAAACATGGTTTATAAATATAAAACACCAGATCTGTGTTTTCTGTCACCACCATTTTTCGTATTTTATTCTTTGTTTGGCAATGTTTAACTGTAAAAGTGATAGTTCCACATCTTCAATCATATGTGAAGGTCCACATATATAAACACACGTATTTTCTTTTCGTAGCCAGTTGAAACTGTTGTCTAAATCACCCATCTGTATTCTTTTATCTAAACAGAAAGAAGATAAGTTTCTACAGTTTTGTAAAAAAAAACACAAAAAAACACAGAGCCTTAGCTTTTCTACAACAAAGATGCATCATTAATATGCCATTGTTAATTATATATATTTTTAGGAAAGGTATAAAACCTATTAAATGATTCACATGAGTGAAGGACGAAAGTTCTCCTGCCCAAAAATGACCTCTCCTAAGAAAATACCATCGTTATATCTTGAAGAAATCAGAAGAAGAAAAAGAATACGCATAATTCCTCTGTGGTGTTTCTCCATTTTTACGAATCATGCTCTTGTGATAAGGTTTAAATATCTACAGATTAATATACTTGTATCTACATATCCCTAAAACTGAAGATTTGTCAGCAGATTTCCAAAGCATCAACAGAAAACTACTACTAAAGAAAATACAATTTTCATTTCTGAAGGGTGACTTAATTTACTTTAAATGCGTAAAAATTATTGGGGTATTGCAAAAGAGAGCAGACGTCCGTGAAATTTATGACATTGGCTGAGTCACAACTAACACCATTGTTTACGAAAGTTTGAAAATATTTTGACTACATACTAAGTAAAAGGACATCTCCAATTTTGTGGGTTGTTTCCTTCTCACGAGTCACGTGGAACTGACAGTTAATGTGTTCATTGTTGTTCTGTATTATGTTCAGTTGCTCCTACAATTAAAGATTGAAAATTCAGAAAAAGGCACAGTTCACTTGATTATCAGTTAAAGTATGTTAAAGTATGTTACCGTCCATATTTTAAGGCACTAACTATTGTGGGAAAATAATCAACATTTCATCAATTCTTCCATTCAAAAAAAAGATAAGGATTTAAGTAAACAGAATATATGGAGGATGGTGCATCTTCTATAGTTTTATACAGTGTACCTCAGTTCTTATTCTTTTATTTGATTTCGTTTTGTTTCTTAACTTCATACAATTTTAACGTTTCTGGTCATATTTCGACCATCAATCCACCTAACCAGCGTTCATTGTCTAATAGAGAGAAAATACATGTGGCTAGTAAGTGTATAGGCAATAGAACGCAACATTGCTCAAATAATGTGTGAATTAGTTTGTAAATCAAGCATCAGTCCTTCAGCTTCCATGGCAATGCTATCTTCAATGACTATAACCTATAAATGCACCTTGTCAGTGACAGTATACTATAGAGAAAGCTTTGTCTCATACATCTGCATGTTTAAAAAGAATACTACGTCAAAATTAGCATTACCTAGCGAGATGCACCTTTTCTATAAGTTGTAGTGTTGACTTCCAGCATTCAGAAATTCAACAACATTATTGAAGAACAGGTTCAATCTTTTTTGACGTGTTTTTGTCCCCCCCCCCCTTTTTTGAGGCCTCAAACAGTGAAAAAATGCCCTATTTAGACCCCAAACACGGTTTTTTATTTGAGAAATGTTGTTAACAAAAGTGATCACTTTTTCGGCGCAGCCCCAATCAAAATGATACATTAGGGGGTTGCCAGAAGAGGAATGTGCCCCATTCTGTTTGGGGGGTTTGAAGGGGGCAGCAGTCACCCTCATAACCAAGAAAATTTTGGACATGTGGTAGGCTAAAATGGCCTCAAATCGATTCTAAGATAACATGTAACAAAAAAAGCCTTTTACTCTTTCTCAATGCATTGAGAAGTTGCATCACTTTGAAATCAGTTTTGATGGAAAGAAACAATACAAAATAGTGATATTTCGCAAATTTGATACGTCCCCCCCATTGCCATGGTAACAGGAAATTTAAGATTGAGCATGCTGCTACAGAGTTTATGGTTCAGTCAACATTTGTGCCAAGTTTCATCAGTATTGAAGCATTTTTCATAGTTTTATAGCAATTTGAACTTGTAACAGGAGGCTTTTCAATGAAAACAGCCATTTTTCACAATACATGTATGCTCATGTGGTAAACGGTTAAATATAGTAAGGATTTAAAAACCTTAAAATTAGTTGAATATATAAACAGAATAAATAACATGTTATCTATGTATCTGATATAAACTATACACAATTAAAATGTACACACCTTGAAAACTAATTCGTCAGTGGTCTTTGCACTAAAAAGCAGTTTAACTTTTCCACTGAACCTAGAAGAGTTGTCCTCCTTATTCAAATCAGACACTTCATTGATGATACTGTATACTGGATTTATACCTACACCTCCAGCTATGAGGAGTAAATCAACATCTTTCTGAACAGCTGGGTCAAAGAAAAAGTCTCCCCCAACTCGTATCTTAACTTGTTCTCCCACTTTACACTAGAAAATAGAATATGTTACCATGTCTTTAAATAAATCAAACAAACAAAAAAATATCAAGCAATCTAAAAACTAACAAGGTTTCATGAAAAACAGCAAAAATATATTCTGCTAAAAATCTTGTTTGATTCATTTGTAATTTTGGGTGAAATAGCATAAAATAGCATAAAATAGATCAGATTAGCCTCAATCTGTTCTGTTCTGTATCATGATAAAAAAATGCATTACTTTTTTTATGGACAGGAAATAGAAAAGTAGAACTTGAATGCTTTCATATACATTGAAAAAAATCCCAACATGCACATATCACACCTTAACCTGCTAAAATACATAATTTCTTTACTGTCTTTCTTTTTAATACCAAAATGATATGTTGATAGTTTGTAGGATAATGTGTTTGAGTTGAGATTAACAACTTCATACAGCACTACTGGCATGTACTCAGTTAGAATGGGGGTCAGAAGTTTGATCCAAATCCCAAGTGTCTGTGACTTAAGTTATTAATTCTTGACTAGAGTATGTGGTAACTACCTAAGAAAACAACAACAAAAAATATTTTTACACACATTACACTTTAAATAAAAATTCAAAACCTTGAAAAGAAATCAAATTTTTTTTATAAAATTGTTGAAAAAAATCTATAAGCTACCATCAGGCTTAAAAAAATAAGTCAGTAATTCCTTAGCAATTTAAATGTACTCAGTGCACTTGGAAATATGAAATCAATCTTTTTTTAAAAAAGCTGATCTGTAAGCCACCATATGGGCATAATCAGGGCATAATCAGACCCTAAAAAGTTATTTCTAAATCAGTTTTTTCTAAGCCAATTACCTTGGTATGTATCCAATAAGCAGGGGGATGTTCACTATATTTCACTGCCAAGTCTAGACAATGGTATTTCGTCAATCTAAGAGGGGAACTACACATGGAAAATCCACCAATCGTCTCAACACCAGGTATAAACATGTCAATCCTAAAATACAGAGAGAAAAAAGTTTATGTTGATATTGTGATAAGGTACCACTTTGTGTGAGATGGAAGCACAGCTGTATTTAAAGTTGTGATGGAAGGCTAAAAAAAATCTTTTTCTCACATACATGTATGTTGCAAACTCATACAACCATTTCATTAGTGTTCAAAGCTAAATTCAGATCAAATCTTTCTGGGGTTAAATTCTAAGGAACAACAAACAGTTCACAATGTTTCAGTGACAGAAAAACGGTTAAAGATTAAATTTCGTTAAAAGTTTACTAATAACTGCATTGAAAAATTGTTAGTTTTTGTTAAATTCCTTTGAATATTTTGTAGAGCTTGAATTTAATTAATCGTTTTTGTATTCACAAATTATGCAATCACAAGGAATTTCATCGCACAAAATTTCATCGCGATTGTATATCGCAATAAGTATTCTAGTCTTTATTAATGTGTATTTCTGTCAATTATACATAAATTTTACACAAATAATCAATGTCAACAGCAAGGGAAAAGTTTGCAAGTTAAATTCAGCCCTGTCTTGTTCAAATTTTATTGTCTTTTCACAAATCAAAATACATCCCTTGTACAACATATAGAAGATATAGAAACAAATATACACATGCATGCATACATGCATACACACATACAATGTAACATACATAACAATTTTACCATTGCCCTGCTTTAAAACTGAACTGTTTGTCTTCAACCTTTAGAGTCAGTGATTTTACTGTCTTTGATTCCTCCCTCATTCCTACAACAGTTGCCAAGGAAACAACCTGAAATAAACCAACAAAAAGAACAAAATGAAATAAACTATTTTTCAATGCGCACCCTTAATTAACAGTCTATAATGTATAGTCATTGTATATGAGTCTCAATCTATTTTCAGATCGGGAAAATCCAATTCAGCCAGTGAATATGATTATACACCCAGTAAATTATATAATTCTACAACTTGTTCTGTTGACTACTATTTGGACCATTTAGACTGCAGCTATTTTTAGATCATAAAATACATGTAAGTGTATTTATGTATTTTTGACCACTATGACATATGTACTTTGAATATGTAGATATAAACAATACTGAACAGATAATTTAAACAAGGGCAATTTGTACCTCACTCCTGGCACTGTCAGCTGTTCTGTCAATGTGATCACTATTCATCTGTCTGAAATACAACAACAACAACAACAACATACTCAGTGATATATGCTGCCTTGTTTCACTAAATCAACATAACTTTAAATAATAACAAAAAATAACTGAACTGTAGAAAAATTAATGTTTACAAGCAAAACATTAATAGTCCCTGACTTTGGGGCATAATTATAATGAATTATTAACAATTCACCACAGTGAAATAATGATTGGCCACAGAAGAATTAAAGCAATAATTATTGCCTTAACCCAAGGAGAGGGAAATAAACTTTTTAAAATTAATTTTACAAAGAAAATGGCAATGTGTTTACTCTTAATATAAAGCCTCTAGTTTGAAATATAATCAGATTTTCAATTTATCAAAGAGTAGCATAATAATACGAAATAATAGGAGTAAATTTACAATGAATATTATGTTAAAATGAAAGAAATTGATTAAGAAATGCACATACATTTGTATTTGTAAAACAATGGGCATATCTCTAAGTCTAATTTTAACAATTAAGCCTAACATATATTTACATTGTTCTTGAAATATTTAATTCTCGTTCTATTCTCTTTATAATTGAATTTGTGACACATGTACCGGAGAGAAATAAAGTTATCTGTCTGCCTGTCTATAAATCTGTAATTGACTTGCAATAAATATTCATTAAAGTTGTTTTGACATTCACCCTTTCCACATTAATCAATAACATAAAATGGTGACAATGAATATCATAAACTGATATATTTGGACTCTACAATGTAGTTACAATATATCAATCTGATTAAATTTAGTTCCTAAATAACAAAATGCTTCTATTTCTATCGATATATGAATTGAACTTAATTTAGATCCAGCCTGTGACATAAGATAAAGTTCTCTGTTCAAGACTATAGAAACTTGTCTTGTGTCCCAGATCCAGCATCTATCATTCTATGACCAAATAAGGACAAATTTGCAGACGCCACAATTTTGAAATAAGATGGATAAGTAATTCTACCTAAATGAATGAAAATTCCGATGAAAAGATCTTTTAAATGTAACGTTACTTAAAACATTCCTGACATAAAACATTGCAAATCGTTTCATAATTTCCCGCCACACAGAACTTACCGGAACCACTAGTGATAAGTTATCTTTATTAAAAAGAGTCACGTCAATAGAGTTATATCCCTTTGTTATTTTTTTTTGTAAGATTGTTTTAATCAAAGGAAAGTTTGTTTGATAAAACATCCTCGTAAGTTTTATTTATCTTAACATGTAATGTAGTTCCTTCAGTTTACTCGATAGATAAGAGCATGACATTTGTTGAACACGATATTTCAACTCAATTCATTCATAAGTGGCAATGTTTTCGGATAGTCGCAAGCGGGCAGACGATTTATTAACTATGTCAATTCTTTATCAAATACTTTAATTACTATATTACTTTAATGACCATGGCACTGAAACGAATATCAATTTAAAAATTATAATGAATATAATCATTATATTAGGGGATCTTTAAATTGTTAAGACTATTAAGAGTAAAGTTAAAATTAATTGTCAACAAAATGCAGCATGTGTAACAAAGAAGTGTTTATCTGTGATCTACATTTTAATGTACATGTGATGAGACCAAAAATTAAGTAGTGCAGCAAGATAGCACAACAAATTGTGCACCAAGGGTTTTTTATAACATATAGGACAGTCGCCTGTGTAGTCTCAATATTTCGACGGCAAGACAGACCGATTTTATAATCTGATATTTCATAGATGTCGCAAAGGGCGACCATCATCTATATAAAAAAAGCCCTAAAACGCACAATTTGTTAGGCTTTCGCCTGTGGTGAAATTAACAAAACAGATATCTGTGTACTTTATTCAGTTTATAAGTTGTTGTTGTTTTTTTTCAGTTCATTGTTTTTGCTATAATACAAATTATCATGAGTGGCGCAATAGCTCAGTTGTTTAAACCACTTATTATTCCTGATGTCCCAGGTTCAATCCTGGGTTACACAATTGGAATTTTTCAGAGACACTTTCAGTAGTTCCCACTAAGGCTCCCTCGTTTACATTTTTTTGTAAACGTTTACACGACTGCTAAGAACCGAAACGATACCGTTTAAACGGTGGTACCTCTATGTACTATATACACCATGTATTTGAGTTGCCAAATGATGTCTATCTTTCTATTTTTAATACATGTACAAATAAAGAATGTGCAAGGCTCATCACAATTGAGTCAGCACACATTTTTTGCATTGTAACCCCATTTTTTACCAAAAATGTATTATGTCACGAGCAATTTTGCACGGTAATGCTGTGTTGAGGGTTGTAAACACCCATTTTCCGTTTGTTTACTTTGGAATAAACCACTAGAATTGATAAAATCCATGATTACAGGCAATGATTAAGAAATTTTGTAAGACAGTATGGTCATTTCGATTAAACGGTAAACAATATCGTAAACGTTTATGAATGAAAATCGAAACGAATCCGTTTAAACGTGTAATCGTTGGGGCCTTAGTTCCCACCTACCTAGAGGTGAACTGGTATTGAGGAATCAGTATCAGTGCTATACACTGTACAAGAACCAAGGGGTCTATTCATTAAGAGCTAGGGACTGGTTCCCGGATTCCCTTGTATCTCATAGCTGTCTCTTTCATGTATACAATGTATACCTGCTTAGAGTGATCATAAACGATTTTAAAGCAGTATGATGTAGAAGAAGTAGAAATTAAGTTTTATTTTCTTTAATATCTTTATTTGATCTCATTCATTATTGTTATTTATATGTCATTGAGCATAACTCTTAATTGATTGGAAATTAATGGTTATACTATTCTATCAGTTGGTAAAATTGGTTGGTCAGCTTGCAGTCAAAATATTGTGACTATGCTGCAAGAATGTGAAAATATCAGGGTTTAAAAGATGCTAAATTTTCTAAACAAGAGCACAAATCCTGCAGATAGCAACATAAATTTGTGAAATTATTTTGCATGCATACATTTTCAGTGGATTTTATTTCATTATATCAAATTTTAGTAATATTATTATTATTGTGCTTATCATGAGGTTTTGGAATTAATCATATTTACAGAATGTCAAGGTTATATGAAAGTCAGGTTAAACTGTACCTGTTTATGTTGTACATTATTCACTGGCGATCATCTTAAAGATAAAATGTTTTATCAGGTCAACCTACTTAAGCAAACCTTAATTCTGATAGTTGAAATAGATAGCCTATATGAAACTGTTAAGTTTAAATACTATTAAGTCATACATGTATATGAAAGATTTAATTCAATATCTGATCATCTCTTGTTTGTTGACCAGTCCTCACTGTATCAGTGACGTTTAAAACCAAAATAGAACCAGAATAGTTATTAGGCTTATTTCTTAAAGGAACTTAAAAATACATTCCCCATTAATAAAAAAATCTCAAAAGACAAAAGTTTATTTTGAAATAATGTAATTAAATTCTCAAATATTTACTATTAAGATATAAATAATAACACCAGTTGACTAAAACATACAATTGTGAACTCTCACTATTTAAGAGGGAGACTCACTCTTTCTCCTGTCAAATTTCTGAATATTTTTCTAAGAATAAAGGGTGTTTGTTTAATAAAAAAAGAATCTCCCTCTTTTTCATTTCAAAATTTCCTTCTATGTCTATTGTCAATTACCAAATCTCCCTCTTTTTAAAGTTAATTCTCTTGAACATTGAAAAAAGTTAACATGTATGCTAAAATGAAAAATTAATAGTCCCTAATTTATTTGGCTTCAGTTATTTTTTGTATGATAGTAGATAACTTAAGGGATCATGCTTCATGATTGATAGATTTGTAGTTTGTCCCAATGGTTTGCATCCTGTCCTTGGTCATTGAGATAGAAATTTATGATACAGTTATTTAATTCATCCAGGTGAAAATGTGTATGACACGCAATGTTAATGGCAACATAAGAGGTTGTTATAATTATGTTGAACTAGTGAGTAGTGTGAAAGGTCTCCCTGGTGCTGAGTGACCAGTGGTAAGACATAAAATGAGTGAACATGACAATGGTGTTAAACAGCTACATTTTAAAGATTTTTTATTTACTGTTTCAGCATCATTGACAGAACATGGCATGTTTAGTACGGAACAGACCATTATATTTAGCACTTATAACAAAGAGATGTTGCCACACCGCAGTTGCAAAGTCACCAGTTGTTACACAGCCACTTAACTTTCTAGATGGACAAAGAGTGGAGCCTGTGAACAATGATAAACAACAACAGTTTCCTCTTATATACCCTGCCACAGGTATTAAATGTTGAGTATATGAAGATGACATAGATCTTCCCAGTGCAACAAGGATGTCTTTGTTATACCTGCTGGTTGATTAGTCTTTGCCACCAGTATAGAACTGTTCACTCATTCTCTTAGACCAGGCTTAGAATATTGTTGGTAGCTGTGTAATTTGATATTGAAAATTCATAAACTTTAAACAGAATGTTCCAAATTCAGAGCAGAATAAATTCATTACACAAATTCATCAAGTTAAGATTATGAGTCGAGACACAAGGAAACATTTTAAAATAGACAACGTTGCCATCCTTCCACACAAATCAACTAATTATAATAATGAACAGAAATATTTAATTTAAATTATTCAACACTTATCTTACGTTTATTCATGTTTTTGGAAGACATTTACTAATCTTTATTTTAATTTTACTCACTCCATATTAAATGCCAACACATCCAGACAGGTTTTGTTACATAGAATTGAAATAAATTTTAACAACTTTAAAATGTTTAAAAATTCAAGCTAGATTTTTAAATATTTATATGACTGTATGTAACAGGTGAGGTTTTAAAGACTGTACAAAGTTCAGGGGCCTCTGATCTTGACAATGCGATGGCAGCTGCTAGAAGAGCTCAGAAACAATGGGCTGGTATGTCTGGGTTTGAGAGGGGACAGGTACTTAAACGTGCAGCTGACTTATGTAGGGTAAGAATTTTTCTGTTAATTTCTTTCAATTTTATCTTAACAAAATTTATACCTACACCAAACCCTAAAGTTGTTATTATCTAATTTGTGTTGGGTTTTTTTATCATGGAAGGAGTGCAGGGTTCTTCAGGTTTATGTTCAGGAATACTGTAAAGGACATACAGGTTGTATTGCACAATGTTCAGGTTTCCTATGAATGGCTGACGTCATCTCATTAAACGTTACCAGCCCCTTTTACCATGCACTTTTTTGGAAAGAATTTTGAAAGTGCTGAATTGTCTTATAAACTTGTTTGTGAATAACAAATTTCATTGTTTTAGAGTGGCAGTTACCTGTCTTCAACAACATATGTTAGTTACTAGAATGGTAAGATGTCAATAAATTAAAACCTTTCTACAGGAACACCTCGTAAACAACCAAAATCTTTGTCTCCAAATGGGTGCCTGTCTTGCAGAGGTTGTACTGTATTTTATTTTTCTAAAATAAAACATTCAGGTTAAACAAGAAGAATTGGCTAGGGCAGAGACTTTGGATACAGGCAAACCAATCTGGGAGGCCCGTTTTGACATACAAGGCTGTGCTGACTCTGTAGAATATTATGGCGGACTTGCATCTACTATATCAGGTAAGCTGTTATTTTAGAGGGCATTATAAAATTAATAGCGGAAATATGACCACGTCTTTTATGAGTGTCTACATGAAAATCCCTGGTGACAAGTCAGTAGTAAGGACTGCGTCTAATAAGCCAGGGAGTATTATAACTGAATAAATATGGTAGCTCCACATGCTAGTACTTCCTTAACAAATTTCTGATAAAGTTGTATTACTGACGAAGGGTATTGTTACCTGTATCTATTTGTGAATTTATGTTTGTCAAAACTGACATGGTCTTCCTCCAATTTTTATGAGTGTAGTATAAAATAAAAAAATCACATGGACTTGTTAAAGCTGTTTGTTTGCATAAATGTGAAATTTATCATTTACGAGTAAGTGTTGATTTTTCTGTCAATTTTACAGGTGAATTTTTACAGTTATCAGGGGGAAACTTTGCATATACTATACGTGAGCCTCTAGGTGTTGTTGGAGGTATAGGTGCCTGGAACTACCCATTTCAGATGGCCACATGGAAGTCTGCACCAGCACTAGCCTGTGGTAACGCCTTTGTCTTCAAACCATCTCAGATGACCCCATTAACAGCAGTCATGTTGGGAGAAATCTACAAGGAGGCAGGGTTACCTGATGGATGTTATAATGTTGTTCAGGTAAGGAAGCAAGGTTACCTTATGGCTGTTATAATGTTGTACAGGTAAGACGGCAGGGTTGCCTGATGGTTATTAAATGTTGTACAGGTAAGGAGGCAGGGTTGCCTGATGGTTGTTATAATGTTGTACAGGTAAGGAGGCAGGGTTACCTTATGGCTGTTATAATGTTGTATAGGTATTGAGGCAGGGTTACCTGGTTTGTTATCCCCCGCCGAAAAGGCGGCGGGGGATATAGAAATAGTCTCCGTCCGTCCGACTTTCCGTCCGTCCTTCCGTCCGGCATTTTTGTCCGGAGCATATGTCTAAAAGTATTTGAGTTATCATCTTGAAACTTCATAGGTGGATACACCTCATTGAGGAGGAGTGCAGTGCACAAGAATGATAACTCTTCCCTGCATAATTTTTGAGTTATTGCCCTTTGTTTTATTTCAAAATTGATTTTTGTCCAGAGCATAACTCCAAAATCCTATGAGATATCAACATGAAACTTCATAGGTGCATAGATCTCACTCAGGAGGTGTGCAATGCACAAGAATGATAACTCTACCTTTCATAATTTTTGAGTTATTGCCCTTTGTTATTTTTCATACTTAATTTTTCACCCGATTGGAGCATTACTCAAAATTGTTTGAGATATCAACATGAAATGTCATAGGTGGATAGATCTTATTGAGGAGGAATGTTGTGCGCAAGAATGATAACTCTTCCCTAACCAATTTTTGAGTTATTGCCCTTTGTTATTTTTCATGCTATTTTGTCCAGAGCTTATCTCAAAAAGTATTTGAGGTTAGCCTGGGTTCCAGTCTGTCGATTTTTTATGGCACTGCTTCTGTTCGGCAAATCGACAGCCTGGGGAAATACGATTTTCGATCGAAGCGCCACCTAGTATACACCCCGAAAATAACTGGTGTTATTTAAAGAACGATAACTCACGCAACAACAAACTAGTTGCTAAAAATAGAAACGGAATTTCCACGAAGTGACCCGAAGCTCAACGAACAGTTACGGAGCCTCGCTTTCAAAACACCATTTCCGATTAAAATAACACTCGTTGACAAAGTTTATTGCATAATGAGTTAATTCGATTAACAGTTTTGATTAGTTAAATTGGATAAAGTTTGTGAGCATCAGAGAATTGTGCTGGACGCAATTTATAATAGTAAATGGCGTCAAATTTTCAACATTCATCATCTTCGCCTCGATTTCGATTTAGTCATGTAATTTGTTGGTCATGTGCTAATCGGTCTATTAATAGGATTATCATTAGTCGATAATTACATGGGAAACCCCGCAGGTTTCCCCAGGCGTTGATACTATCAAAACCAGAGATCAAAACCAGAGATGTTGTGCGTTATCTATGACGATCGAGTATGAAATAGCGCGTATGTTTTAAATAAGCAAAAAATATCAACGCCTGAATCCCAGGCTAATTTGAGGTATCAACTTGAAACTTCATAGGTGGATGGATCTCACTGAGGAGGAGTGCAGTGCACAAGAATGATAACTCTACCCTGCATAATTGTTTAGTTATTGCCCTTTTTATTTTTCAAAATTAGTATTTGTCCAGAGCATAACTCAAAAGGCCTTTGAGATATCAAAATGAAACTTCATAGGTACATAGATCTAACTCAGGAGGTGTGCAGTGCAGTTCCTTTTTTAATTTTTGAGTTATTGCCCTTTGTTATTTTTCATACTTGATTTTTCAATTCAATTTTTTTCTCAAAAAGTATTTGAGGTATCAACTTGAAACTTCATAGGTGGATAGATTTTACTGAGGAGGGATGCAGCACACAAGAATGATAACCTACCCTGCATTATTTTCAGCTATCAGTATTCACATAGGTTTTAAATCTGTAATCACTATAGCCATAAGTTTTCATTACCAAAAGACCTCTTAAAATGGAATTATTCTGCTCTACTACATATACATTCTTCCAATGAGCAAACACATTCGGCGGGGGATGGCCATGTTGACATGGCTCTTGTTGTTATGATGATGTACATGTAAGGGTGCAGGGTTACCTGATGGTTTTAATAATGTTGTACAGGTAAGGAGGCAGGGTTACCTGATGGCTGTTACAATGTTGTATAGGTAAGGAGGCAGGGTTACCTGATAGTTGTTATAATGTTGTACAAGTAAGGAGGCAGGGTTACCTGATGGATGTTATAATGTTGTACAGGTAAGAAGGCAGGGCTACCTGATGGCTGTTATAATTTTGTACAGGTAAGGAGGCAGGGTTAAGGATGGCTGTTATAATGTTGTACAGGTAAGGAGGCAGGGTTACCTGATGGATGTTATAATGTTGTACAGGTTAGGCGGCAGGGTTACCTGATGGTTGTTATAATGTTGTACAGGTAAGGAGGCAAGGTTACCTGATGGTTGTTATAATAATGTACGGTAAAGAGGCAAAGTTACCTGGTGGTTGTTATAATGATGTGCAGGTAAGGAGGCAGGGTTACCTGATGGATGTTATAATGTTGTACAGGTAACGAGGCAAAGTTACCTGGTGGCTGTTACAATGTTGTACAGGTAAGGAGGCAGGGTTACCTGATGGATGTTATAATGTTGTACAGGTAACGAGGCAGGGTTACCTGATGGATGTTATAATGTTGTACAGGTTAGGCGGCAGGGTTACCTGATGGTTGTTATAATGTTGTACAGGTAAGGAGGCAAGGTTACCTGATGGTTGTTATAATAATGTACAGGTAAAGAGGCAGGGTTACCTGATGGATGTTATAATGTTGTACAGGTAAGGAGGCAAGGTTACCTGATGGTTGTTATAATGATGTACAGGTAAGGAGGCAAGGTTACCTGATGGTTGTTATAATAATGTACAGGTAAGGAGGCAGGGTTACCTGAGGGATGTTATAATGTTGTACAGGTAATGAGGCAGGGTTACCTGATAGCTGTTATAATGTTGTACATGTAAGGAGGCAAAGTTACCTGGTGGTTGTTATAATGATGTGCAGGTAAGGAGGCAAGGTTACCTGGTGGTTGTTATAATGATGTACAGGTAAGGAGGCAGGGTTACCTGAAGAATTAATTAATGAACAATTAATTCAATGGTTAATCTAAATGAACTATATTTCTTATTTTTGATACAAGCATGTGTTACATGTAAGTAACTGTTAATATTTTACACTAATCTGTGTATTATAACACCCTTTAACTACTGGAACTGCAAGATACAAGCTTTTGTTACTAGTACAGAGCCCATCCATGAAGGCTCAATGCTGTTGATATCTCAAATTTTGCATTTTGATCTTAAATGCATGACATTTCAAATGTCCTATTTCAGATTTAAAGCAAGGCAAATTCACACATAAAACTCCTGTTAAGGGTAAACCTTTCTTATTACTGTTATTGCAGATATTTATTTAATTTGAATATGTTTTAACTTACAGGGTGAAGCTCAGACTGGTCAGTTGTTATGTAATCATCCAGCAGTAGACAAAATGACCTTCACTGGTAGTGTACCTGTAGGGTCAAAGGTCATGGAGGCATGTGCCAAGGTAAACAGTTTATATACATGTTTGATATATGCTAATAGTTATCTTTTGTTTCTTCCATGGCCGATCATTCAAATGTTACGGGCACCTGCTATAATACAGTGGAAAATATAATTCAGTCTTGAAGCACTGAAGTATTTAATTTTAAGTAAATAAACAATATGTTTTATGAAGATCAAAAGAACTGTCATAATAAAACAAAATATACATGAACATTTTAGTTGAGAGTCACAGTTTTTATAATAATGCAAAATAAATTTCTTGAATTCTGATTAGCTTAAACACTTTGTATATGATGCTGTGAAGAACTGAAGAGCACACAATCAACAGTGTAATTCTACATCATAGACAATTGACTACATGTGTGCATAAGATTTAATATTGCATTTTGTTGTGTTTTGTTTGTTTTATGGCATATTCCTCAATACAAATGTCTTTTCTTCTAAAAAAACTAGTTAGTTTCATTGCTGTGATGACTTTACACTTAATATACTTTTTAGCCCGACTATTCGATAAGAATAAGTAGAGCTATTGTAGTCACCCGAGCGTCAGCGTCGGCGTAACCACTTATGTTAAAGTTTTTGTAATAGTTCAAATATTTTCAAAGTCCATTGACATATGGCTTTGAAACTTTGCACACTTGTTCACCATCATGACCCCAACCTGTAGACAGGAGGTGGTAACTGTATCAAGCATTTTGACAGAATTATGCCCCTTTTTAGCTCGACTATTCGATAAGAATAAGTAGAGCTATTGTAGTCACCCGAGCGTCGGCGTCGGCGTAACCACTTATGTTAAAGTTTTTGTAATAGTTCAAATATTTTCAAAGTCCATTGACATATGGCTTTGAAACTTTGCACACTTGTTCACCATCATGACCCCAACCTGTAGACAGGAGGAGGTAACTCTATCAAGCATTTTGACAGAATTATGCCCCTTTTTCGACTTAGAATTTACGTTAAAGTTTTTGTAATAGTTCAAATATTTTCAAAGTCCATTGAGATATGGCTTTGAAACTTTGCACACTTGTTCACCATCATGACCCCAACCTGTAGACAGGAGGAGGTAACTCTATCAAGTATTTTGACAGAATTATGCCCCTTTTTCGACTTAGAATTTACGTTAAAGTTTTTGTAATAGTTCAAATATTTTCAAAGTCCATTGACATATGGCTTTGAAACTTTGCACACTTGTTCACCATCATGACCCCAACCTGTAGACAGGAGGAGGTAACTCTATCAAGCATTTTGACAGAATTATGCCCCTTTTTCGACTTAGAATTTACGTTAAAGTTTTTGTAATAGTTCAAATATTTTCAAAGTCCATAGACATATGGCTTTGAAACTTTGCACACTTGTTCAACATCATGACCCCAATCTGTAGACAGCAGGAGGTAACTCTATTAAGCATTTTGACAGAATTATGCCCCTTTTTCGACTTAGAATTTACGTTAAAGTTTTTGTAATAGTTCAAATATTTTCAAAGTCCATTGACATATGGCTTTGAAACTTTGCACACTTGTTCAACATCATGACCCCAACCTGTAAACAGGAGGAGGTAACTCTATCAAGCATTTTGACAGAATTATGCCCCTTTTTCGACTTAGAATTTACGTTAAAGTTTTTGTAATAGTTCAAATATTTTCAAAGTCCATTGACATATGGCTTTGAAACTTTGCACACTTGTTCACCATCATGACCCCAACCTGTAAACAGGAGGAGGTAACTGTATCAGGCATTTTTTTTACTATCAAGCACTAAGAATAGTCGAGCATGCTGTCCTACCGACAGCTCTTGTTTGACTTAGAATTCACGTTAAAGTTTTTGTAATAGTTCAAATATTTTAAAGTCCATTGACATATGGCTTTGAAACTTTGCACACTTGTTCACCATCATTACCCCAACCTGTAGACAGGAGGAGGTAAGTGTATCAAGCATTTTGACAGAATTATGCCCCTTTGTTGACTTAGAATTTAAGTTAAAGTTTTTGTAATAGTTCAAATATTTTCAAAGTCCATTGACATATGGCTTTGAAACTTTGCACACTTGTTCACCATCATGACCCCAACCTGTAAACAGGAGGAGGTAACTGTATCAAGCATTTTTTTTTACTATCAAGCACTAATAATAGTCGAGCGTTGCTGTCCTACCGACAGCTCTTGTTAATGTGCAGTGTCGGATATACATTAAACTGCAGACGTCATCTTCTTTATGTGCCCCTTTTCCCCCACGCAGTTCTTTGGAAAAGTCTTAAAGATTTCTTATGAACTAATTGTCAAATTGTACAAAACATGAATATCTGTAGTTCCAATTAGCTTTCAGCATACATAATTTAAATATTTAGACAACAGTCATATTCTATTATGTAATAACCAACAAAGTTATGATGTAAGATACTTATGTGCTGATACACATGCAATTTGAAGTCTGAAGTTTACATACATTACATATATTGTGTATATGTTTTTGAAAAACTAAGCATCTATTATTCTTGTATAAGCTTCCATTCCTACTGATAGAACAGATTTCTACATCCTGTTTTAGATTTAAAATAAATATTTCACAAATGATTAATAGCAGCTGTAGTTTGTATGTTTTATTACATTGTACTTTAGTTGCAGAGTTATGGCTCCTTTATTAAGTTGAAAAATATTTCAGCAAATACATGTATTAGTTTCATGAATCTGTTATTTTTTATAATACACCAGGACATAAAACATGTAACACTGGAACTCGGAGGAAAATCTCCACTCATTATATTTGAGGACTGTCATCTAGATAATGCTGTAACTGGGGCCATGTTGGCTAACTTTCTTACACAGGGACAGGTCTGTATACAAATGTATAATGTAATTGTTAATTTTACGGGGTGCTTCTAAACACACTATTATGTGGGTAATTTATCCCAATACCAAAAATTCTATATTTAGAAACTTTAAAACTGTGTCTGTTACTGAGAGGATAAACTGACTTCAAGAAATTTTAAAATACTAGTGGGAGCATTGCTAGAGCAGTAAGAATCAACTGTTCAACACATGGACATGCCTAAATAAATAATGTTCTGTAAAGAACAGTGTGGCCATGCTTTGGCAAGAACTTTGTTAGTCAGTCATTTAGCACATGGACAGGCCAATCATTTAGGTCATGGACAGGCCAGGGAACATAATATTGTGGCTACAGTAGAGTCTGCAAGTTTTCAAAGAATCTGTAGGACAGGAAGAGTTCTTAGATTAGTTTATACAAATTTATGTTAGTTGGATTGTGTTGGAAGCTGTAAACTTATTGAAACACTCTTGGATCTATTCCTGGAACCAACCAGTAATAAGCAATGAATATAAAGTTTCTTGCTCAAGGAAACAAAGGCTTTCCCTGGACAGGGTTTAAACCCATGCAGTCAGCTATTCTTAGGAAATTTCTTATTACTGTAACCAGGGCCATCATAGAGGTAAATCTGAGAAAAACTGTTGAATTGATGTTATGCATGAACAATATTATAAAGATGAAATGAATGGAATCTTTATACATGTACATGTCTATGATTTTAATATTGTGTCAAAAATGTTTTGTAAGTTTGGAGCATTTCAGTTTGAGTAAGGTTTATTCTTTCTCAGGTGTGTTCAAACGGTACCCGTGTGTTTGTTCAGAAGAAAATCATGAAGCAATTTCTAGAGAAGCTTGTGGAGCGGACAAGGAAAATGAAGATTGGCGATCCGTTTGCTGAAGAAACAACTGTAGGTGCGACAATATCCAGGGAACAAGCAGACAAAGTCCTTAGATATGTTGATATTGCTAAAAAAGAGGTTAGTGTTTATATTTGTTAATAATAGTTGCCTCATATCATTCAGTGAAATTATATTTGCCTCATAAACTTTAAGAATAATATATTTACCTTATTACCTCCAGAGGTAATCAAAATGTGTAATGTCTTGTGGTGATAATGTATTTGCTGTATTACCTTCATAAATAATGTATTTGCCTCATTACCTCAAGTGAAATTTTATTTGCTTCAAACTTTTTATAGACAAAGTATTGCCTTATTACCTTCAGAAATAATGTATTTGCCTCATTACCTCCAGTGAAATTGTATTTGCCTCATAAGGTCTATAGATAATGTATTGCCTTATCACCTCTTGAGATAATGTATTGCCTTATTACCTTCAGAAATAATGAAATCAGTGAAATTGTATTTGCCTCAAAAATTTTAGTGATAATATATAATAGTGATAATATATTGCCTTATTACCTCTAGAGATAATGTATTTACCTCATTACCTCCTTTGAAAATGTATTTGTCTTATTACCATAGGTGAAATTGTATTTGCCTCATGAATTTTAGAGATACTGCATTTTCATCATTACCTGCAGAGATAATGTATTTGCCTCATTTCCTCTTGAGATAATGTATATTCCCTTTTATGCACCCAAAAAATTTCGGGGGAGCCTATAGTCGTCAGGTTTTCCGTTTGTCCGTCCATACGTCCCGAATTCAGTTTCAGATCAATAACTAAAGAACGCTTAAGCCTAGACACTTCAAACTTGGTATGTGTCCAAAACCTATTCGGGGAGCATCATCCGGTTCAACCGGCTCTTGTTATCTATGGTGATAATACTTTCAGAGAGCCAAACTTCCAGTCCTAGCCTTTAAATACATGTTTGAAATAACAGCTGTATTGAAATCCTTTCCATGTTATTTATTATAATTGTGTTTCTATGATATCAGGATGCCTCTTGTTATTTATTTTAAACAATCTCTTTTTGATTTCAGGGTGCAACAGTTTTATGTGGAGGTGAGGAGGTTACTCCCGAACCGAGGTTTTCTGGTGGACAGTTTGTCTCCCCTTGTGTTATATCTAACTGCCAGGATGATATGACATTTGTTAAAGATGAAATATTTGGTTCTGTATTGTCTGTACTTGAGTTTGACACAGAAGAGGAAGTTATAACTAGGGCAAACAATACAGAGTTTGGTCTTGCAGGAGGAGTGTTTACAAAGTAAGTAGACTTTCAGTTTTGTGTTGGTTTGTCGAGGGGTTAAGAGTCAATGACTTCTAAACCAGTTACCACTCTGGCGTGGGTTTGATTCTCGGGAAATGCTTAGGTAGTTATGCGCGAAGGAAGGTAGTCTAGTACTGGTGTAACTCTCTAGGAACGATGTTTAGGAAACTACCGCCTATATGACTGAAATACTGTTGGGAAAAGGCATAAAATCAAAACAAACAAACAAACTTGCTGAAGCTGTGTTTAAGAAATGAAAAACATGTTATGATCAAGTTTGGTCTGGAGTGTTAAGTAAGTTTGGTCTTATTAGAGTGTTTAGTTAGTTTGGTTTAAAATATAATTTCACTGTTTTCTGAAAAGGATGTAATAAATAATTTCACAGTCTACTGAAATGAAAGTCACAAATAATGCATTTTTTTTTACATTTTTTATATTTTTCATATATTTTTCATATTTCAGAGATTTATGTCGAGCACACCGTGTCATTGCACAGATGGAAGCTGGCTCTCTGTATGTTAACAACTATAACGTTTATCCAGTTGGAGTGCCATTTGGTGGATACAAGAAATCTGGAATTGGTCGGGAAAATGGACCGGAATCAATAGAATATTATACCCAAGTTAAATCTGTTTATGTGGAGATGAATGATGTGGAAGCACCATTTTAATGTTCAGTCATTATAGATTGTTTTGTTTCTAATATATATGTAAGCCTGGCTATTCAAAGAATAGAAGGGCTATAAATCAGCATAACTATGGTAAACCTTTTCACCTGCTGAATTTATGTAACGTATTTGTCCGGCTTTGAATTTGGAACAGTCAATTCAAAGTTTAAGTGGTTTTCGATATAAAAAAAAAAACAAGAAAAAAACGCTACCATATCAACAGTATAGAGCGTGGTTAGACTGCATGGATGTAGATTCAGGCGTACCCTCTATATACACATGGTAAAGTCTGACCACTCTCAGTTTCAGCAGGTCAAGGTTTTGCATGCAACTTCAGACTATAAGTATCTTACACCGGCTGCCGGTACAGACCGGAATATCTAGCTCGAGGGTATCTGTTTACGGCGGTAACGAGGCTCTGCCGAGTTTCCGCTAAACAGTTACCCGAAGGCTAGATATTCCGGTCTGTACAACAGCCGGTGTTTGATTCTTTTTGTTGCATATTATTTTCAATTATTTTCGGAAAAGAAATTATGAAAACTGATACTCTCATTACGCACTTTTTATACGCCCATTTGAAAAACGGGACGTATTATGGGAACGCCCCTGGCGGGCGGGCGGGCGGGCGGCGTCCAATTTTGTCCGGAGGATATCTCCTAAATGTATGGAGGGATTTTAATGAAACTTCATATAAATGTTCACCACTATGAGGAGCAGTGTCGCGCACATGAACCAGGTCTCTAGGTCAAAGGTCAAGGTCACACTTAGAGCTCATTGAAAAATGCTTGTCCGGAGCAAAACTTCCACATGTATAGAGGGATTTCAATATTACTTGGCACAAATGTTCACCATTGTGAGGCGGAGTGTCGCGTGCAAGATTCAGGTCCTTACGGCCAAGGTCAAGGTCACACATAGAGGTCAAAGTTCAGATAAAAATATGAAGATGTGTATATGGACCATTTAGTCATCATTTATTGAGGGATTGTAACACAAATGGTCATTATCAAGACTATGGCTGTGATACATATAATTTAGGTCAATATATACAAGGTCAAGGTCACTAAAGATGATGAAATATCCAGATTTTGTAAATAGAATTTAATCAAAGGGAGACAACAAAGTTATTACTTTGTTCATAAATGACTTACACAATTACTCCCCTTGATCTATTTTCACTTTCAATTCTAAAAATAGAATTTAATCAAAGGGCATGAAATAATCCTCTTTCTTGGACTTGAGTATGTTCTAAAGAATGTAACATTTATTTACACATGTTTCATTCATTGGTCAAGATTCTTAACTGTGATAACTATGGTGTTCTGTAGACTTGGTATTTGTTCATAAAGATCATACAGTAATTACCTTATCAAATGTAAATACTTTCTCATAGAAATTTAATTATATTTTAATTTTCAAGTAAATATCAGTTCAGCTCATTCAAAGATTAAGAATTGTAATGAAATGTATTTCCCTAGAATAAAATCTTAAATCAGAATTTTTTAGTTATTAAATTACATGTACTTTTTATACGCCCGTTTAAAAAAAGATAAAAATATGAAGATGTGTATAGGGACAGTTTAATCATCATTTATTGAGGGATTGTAACACAAATGGTCATTATAATGACTACGGATGTGACACATGTACTTTAGGTCAATATATGCAAGGTCAAGGTCACTAAAGATGGTGAAATATCCAGATTTTGTCTGGAGCATATCTCCTACATGTATGGAAGAATTTTTATAATACTTTATGGAAATGTTCACCACCATGATATGTATTGCTCCATGCATGATCCAGGTCTCCAGGTCAAAGGTCAAGGTCACACTTAGAGCTCATTGAAAAACGCTTGTCCGGAGCAAAACTTCTACATTCATAGGGGGTTTTCAATATAACTTGGCACAAATGTTCACCATTGTGAGGCTGAGTGTTGCATGCAAAATTCAGATCCCTGCGACCAAAGTCAAGGTTACACATAGAGGTCAAAGTTCAGATAAAAATTTGAAGATGGTTATAGGGACCATTTAGTCATCATTTATTGATGGATTGTAGCACAAATGGTAACTATCATGACTACAGGTGTTACACATTTAATTTAGGTTAATATTTGCAAGGTCAAGGTCACTGGAGATGATTAAATATCCAGATGTTGTCCGGAGCATATTTTCTACATGCATGGAGGAATTTTAATGTAACTTTTATAGAATTGTTCACCACAATAAGACGTAGTGCCCTGCACATAAACCAAGTCTCTAGGTCAAAGGTGAAGGTCACAGTTAGAGCTCATAGAAAAACACTTGTCTGGAGCAAAACTTCTACATGCATAGAGGGATTTCAATATAATTTGGCACAAATGTTCATCATTGTGAGGCTGAGTGCCGTGCATAAAATTCAGGTCCCTGCGACCAAGGTCAAGGTCACACATTCTGTGCATATCTTCCCTATTGATTTGTTTTAAGGTTCATTTAACAACACAGTGCCAAGAATAAAAACTTGCTTGCTAGATAACACTTATCCATAATGCCCCCATCTCCATCTAAAGCTTTTTCGTAAACGGGCGTATTTTGTGACTATGGCACCCTTGTTTCTTATAGTAGCGTATAAATTTATAACTTCATTCATAGTGGCGCAATGACGTCATCCAAAGAAAGCAATTCATTCATAAAAGGCGCGTGGGAATGACATCATTTTAAACAAGCGACTTGTCTTACATGGGGGGTGTAAGACAGAGTTTTCTAGCACCAATGTAAACGGTAGATAATCCTGTCTGACATGCAAGAAAACATTAACCATTACTACATTGTATTAAGGTATTCACTTGAAACTTCACTTTCGTCTAGGATTATTATTCAGGTTTCTATCCAAGGCCATAACTTTAATTTTCACTTAATTATTTCCCTTTGTAACTGTAGAAAAATTGCAGGTAAAAATGTGCATGCAGTTCTGTCTACACAGCCTTGGACGGTGTTTATTTGAAGGTCTGTAATCAAGACCCATAATTTACATGTGGATTTATTCTCATTTATACTATCAATAATCATGATAACAACTGACTCATATAAAATAATTACTAAATTATGTGTATAATGATAATTATTCAAATATTTATAAATAGATAATTATTTAACCTTTTTCGTGCATTAGCATCTACAGAAGCACAAGGAAAGCCCGAGGGTGGATATTAAATGAGTCTGAGGGCTTCTGCAGATATTTATGCATGAAAAAAGGGTATAAGTACCATTTTTTGTGAAGTATGCATTACTTACCTATTGAAATGTTTTTTAAATTACATTTCTCATATTGAGAATTGAAGAAGTGTTTCATATTCACTCATTTAAAGAATAAAACTGATAAATGTATTCTCGATGTTTCTGATCATTTTTCTAGTAAAATTAAATAAAGCAGGTAGTTTTTTTCCGTGATGGCCTAAGAAAAATTTTCATTGGATCAAAAAGTTGCAAGTTTATTTTTAATTTCCGGTACCTTTTTCAATTATTGAAGAATATCTTGCATGTATTAATGCACATTCATTGGGCATTTATCAATGAATAAAGTAATATTTGTAGTTATAGGTAAAATGCCCTGATTAGATCACTAATTTGTTAAGATTAAACTTCAGTTTTTTGTCTCAAATTAAGGGCCATGTTTTGAGTTTTGTTAAAGAGATATTTGACAGTACATGTATTTATCAGTGATACTATTTCTTGTTTTGCCAATCCAAGAAATCCTTATCTTAAAACATATTTTTGAATTTGAAGGTTTTTCTGCTTTCTAACCTCCATTTTGATACTTTTAAAGCATGTCTTGGATATCATTTTTAGTTACCTTGTAATCATTTTTTTTCAAGTGTTGGAAGTTGATAAATTGCACAATGCATCTCGCAATCTAATTTGAATGAGATTGTATTTATAGTATACATATTTATATTGAATATAAGGAGTATAATCATGTTATTATAAAGGTATCTTGACCAGGAACTCCCCTGAGGTTCAAAAGCCTAAAAAAATAAAATTTGAATTTCTGTTAATGTCCAGCTATTATCACATACCTGTGCTGCATTTGCAACTTCGTAAAAATTGTATTGCTTGACCATAAATCTATATTTCGTTGAGATGTCATTTGGGCTTGTTATTTAGGGTTTTATTTAGGGGATGTTTTATTAAAAGAATATTATATTCGTGAAGCTTAATTACTGAATTTATTGAACCTGTTGAATATAATAATATGCTTTTCATCTCGTTCAATAAATTCAGTATTGAACTTACACACGTTCAATTTTATCTATCTACGGAAGTGTAAACTGAACCAGTAATGTGAAGTTCAATTGTTTATTGGGACCAGTATTTATTCAGAATCAAAAGTGATTTCAGGTTCAACATTTTAGAGACTTGTAATTTGAACATTTTTGAGGTACAACATGTAAACAGAATATGAATTTGGAATCTATGTTACTCACAAAGATGTGTTTCATATAAAAGCATTATTTTATGCCAATTAAATATTGTATGATGATGATTGTAGAGGTTTTGATTTTCTGTGATAAAAGAAAGTGCTGAAATAAAAGTAATAACTAGAGCATTTCGTTATATGTTATCCCTCCATGAAACCTACTGTAGCACTGACATTGTTAAATATGTACATTATGAATTTTAGAGGAAAGAAAACATTGTTTTTCATCCTTATTGCATTTCATTTTATGAAAGTATTGCAAGGTAGAAGAAATCTGTTTGTTTGTTTGTTTCATTTTACGCCTTTTCCCCAACAGTATTTCAGTCATATAGGCGGGTAGTTTCCTAACCATGGTTCCTGGAGAGTTACATCAGTACTAGAATACCTTCCTCCGCGCTAAACTACCAAAGCATCTCCTGGGGATCGAACCCACGCCAGAGAGGTAACTGGATTAGAAGTCATCGACTCTAACCCCTGGACCACGGAGGCGGTTAGCTTGTAAGATATCTACTCCTTTGTTTCTATTTAGAAATAACAATTAAATACATTAATATTACTCCCCACTGTTGTGCTGGGGTTATAGAATGTTGTTATTGGTTTTTTGGGGTGTTTTTTTTAGGGGGGGAGGGGGGTGATTTATTTTATTATGACTAACATGTACAAAGATAGTGCATCATTACATGCTTCAAAGGATACTGGACTTTGATTAGGTTTATGCTTGCTTCATTTCTCAGATTTTCTTGAAACTTACATTATACTCTCAGTTCTATTATCGTAGGTCAATGACAAAAAGTCTATCATTTTTGCATTCAGTTATTGCTTCTTAAATGATTTATGTATTACGTGTTTTGTATTATGACTATGTACAAATATGTATACGTCAATAAATTATATCTATCTATCTATCTTAAACTAGGATCAAGCACAGAAAATATATAAAAGATATGACCAGCACAATGTCATGTGTTAAAATCAGTGTAAACAGAACACAAACTGACAGTTCTTTTTTTAAGCTCAAATGAAAATTTTTGTCATCCTTTGTCATGGAAACCAGAAATATTACGCACTCACTTTAAAAGGCACTGGCTGATTTCAATTGGCAAATCCTACCAAGCTAAACAAGCCCAGACAACCTTGACCAAATGACCTTAATGTCAAAAGGGGTTTTCTTCTGGGCATGGGTAACTTTCCTACAATGTTTCACAAGGTATTCATCTAGTAAGATTAGGATGTAACCTTAACCACTGACCTTATTACCTCAAAATTTTTAAAGACCATCTACTGGCAATGCTGAATAAACAGGCTAAAATTAGGCTTACTACTATTATTTAACACTGTAACTGACCTTTGACATAAAAAGTCATAGGGGGTCCTCATGTTCTCGCCATGGTTAATGGCGGTATCAAGTTCCATAAATCAAGGGTTAATTCCTTCACAATTTGTATATCAGATCAGACAAGCATTAAAGGATGTTACTTTCAGACAGAAGGACAGATATACAATCCCAAAACACTACCCACTTTCTGAAGGTGGGGAAAGGTGCAAATGCCAGTACCTAAAGATGAAAAGTATTGCAATGACTTTAAAAAGTTTTTTTTTTTTTTTTGTTTGTTCTTTTTTTGCCACTGGATATTTTTCATGAATAATGATAAGAAAAACAAAACAGAATTGACAGGAAAATAAAAACCAAAATTGTTCATCATGTAAAAATATCTTTTATTATGTCAATAAAGAGTAAGAACGAAAGTAAGAATAAAACAGGTGAAAACAGGGGAAGTAACTATTTCAGTGTATCATAAAATAATACCATAAAACCATTAAAAATTTAAAAAAAATATCATAATTTCCAGTTATAAATTCTATCAACACATTATGTCACTTTAAAAGATCTTCCCTACTTCAATAATTAACAAATTGAACTGTTAAGTAAATTTTTTAACAAGAAAAAGAACCTATCTGTGTTAAAACTTTATCAATTTCATTTTTTCAATCTTGAGTATCCTGCAAAAAGACCAATCTTCATACAACTTATCTTTTGTAAAGAAAAGTTTTTTTGTTTTTGTTTTTAATAAAAAATCCTAATTTCTGTAAATAACACATGGTTGTGCGTTACATAGTCAGAACAGAAAGAAATACATGTATAATCTACATATGCTTGATTAAATTCTGAACATTGTAAGAGAAACTTATAATTATTATCATTTTATTTATAATCCTTCTTCTTTGGGGTTTTTTGTTTACCAAAATGAATTATCTTATTCTTCAAAAAAAATATAAAAAAAAAATACCAAAATTAACTTAAACTGTGCAGAATTGTTAGTACAAAATTTGAAGTCAATGAACATCATGATTTGCTAAGAAGAATAAAAAAAAACCTGTTACTTATTCCTAGCTTGAAATTATTTAAAAAAAACAATTTTCCAAGAGCAAACTTTAACCACAATTCCATATTATTTATTTGCAAGACGACACGGAAATAATCGTTACAAACACTTACCAATCAACCAACATACAAAATAGACTAGAATAACAAAAAACATTTGAGCCGCGTCATGACAAAACAAACATAATGGGTTTGCAAACAGCATGGATCATGATCAGATTGTGTGGATGCCCAGGCTGGTCTGGATCCATGCTGGTCGCAAACCCAATATTTTGGTTTTGTCGTTACGTTGCTCATTTATGCATGTATGACCTATCTTTTTTTCTCTATTTCTTTTATTGAATGAATTTGAATATTTAGCATCACATATGTAATTACTACCATGATTAGATAGAAGTTATGTTTTCTTTTTGTTTTCTTTATGGTAAATTATGTCACATACATTAAGCAAAATGAATATGCATTATATAATTATAAATATATATAAAGATTACAACAAATTGGTTTTCACTTCCTTGGATAGTAAGGATGAACAAGGGCTGTCTTTCCTCAACAGACCTCTTTGACAAATAATTGTTGGTGCTGTCTATAGCAATCATCAAAACCGATTAAAGCTGTATGGATTCAATTAGAATGCATTTTCTTTTTAATTAATTAATTAGAAGGAACTCCACTAAGTTTGTTTTTTTCACATGCAGGGACTGGAAATAATTTTTCAAGATAAATTTTCCATTTGATGTCTAAAAGTCATTTGTCATTGGAAGTCTCATCAAATAACTTGTATACAAAAATTCAGATCATTGGCTCACTCAGTTTTTCCAGAATAATTATTCTATTGTGAAAGATGAAGACTTGAGTTGTAACATAGTGTTTTTTATAAAACAATAGAGTTAACTTCTATATTCACATTACATTATTCTAATTGTGAAAAAAAAGACCAAAAATCTGACTAAAGAATAGCACAAAAAATAAGATTTAAAGATATTTCTTAATTAATTATCTTTAAGCATAACTTTCTAGTTGATCTTTGTAAGAAATTCAAATTTTATGTAAGAGGCTTATTAACCTCAGAGGAGTACCTTTAAATATAAAATACTAGTATTGTTAATTTAATGTGTACATCACAAAATATAGCTAATTCTACTTATAACATTAACTACCTGAAGTACATTAAAACTTTCTGCAAATCTTTTGCCTAAAACTGTGCACCAGACTATAGAGAAGTTCTTGTAACTCATAAAATTGATTTGAAGTTCCATTCCAGTAATTAATCAATAATAAAACTAATTTAAAAATCTGAATTTCTTTGCCATGCTCATTGGTGCATTCAGCCTGAAACCAATTTGGTGTGTTCTTTAAAAGGATATACACATCTGATATGCTTTAAATAAAAGTTACAAAAGTTAAATATTTTGCCAATCATAATATTACATCATTAACCTATATACAGGTCATTAAAGCAGCTGTCTCAGCATGTATGCCTGTTTCTTTAGTGTCTACCTTAAAATAAAGTGACTGATAAAAAAATTGATATTATAGGAGGCGAGCTGCTTTAACAAAATTATAATTTTCCTTTTTTTTATTTTTATTTTTTTAAATAAAATTGTTAAAAAAATATACAAAATTATTTTTACAGCAGTTACAAAACCAGCAAACACAGTTATTACATAAACACAGAAGGGTATAGTGTTTACTGAAGATAACTCCTGAACCTTTTTCTTTTTACTTAATGAGTATTTCCACAGTTGTATAAGATACCAGGTGAACAATATAATCATTTGTATGAATTCCACTAACCAACCAATATAATCATTTGTACCAGATTAAAGTGACCAATGAAATCACTGCTTACTCCTGGTGATTCAGCAATTTTGTATGTTATGTCAGAGGTCACAGTGTGTTTAAATAATTTTTTTTGTTTCTCATAGTTTCTTTTTTTCCATCATGATTTAATATATAAAGTCTACAGAAATTAATCACATTGATCACAAAGTGTTCATCCATCAGTCCACAGTTGGCGAGTTAAAGAAATGACTTGGTTTCTTGGAAATGTTACCAGTTCTGTCACCAAACCTGTAAAAAAGACAAAAGAAAATTCTTGTTACAATAAAGAATGATTTTATGTATTATAATGGTAAAAGTGTTCATATCCGATGTCTTCATTGGTCTCCTTTTATGGTCAAAAATTGCATTTTTTTTCTTTCTCAAAAAATTAAGAGAATTTATAAAAAAAAATAAAAAATTCAAAGCCACAAAATTATGTCATTGCCAATTTTTCCATATCTTAAGTATTACGCTTTTTCAACAAGCACATAAGCTCTATGAAATATTTTACTCTTTTAAATGAAAATCTTCATGGGCAAGTGTAATTTTGCACATAAAGGAGGTCAACAAACTACCAGAAACCAATTTGGCAAAAATTTTCTTAAAATATTAAGTGGGTGAAAAAGAAGAGTACTATTGAAAGACAGTTGCATCATTCCTACAATATGCACTCCATTATCAAAAGACTCAGTTATAAAAGCAAAGACCTGAAAAGTATTTCTCTTTCTTGAATTTTCAAGTTAATTTCATTAAGTGCAAACACCCCAAATTGGCCAAATACCACAACCTTTGCAAGAGGTACACACTTCCACCTAATAGACACCATAACCCATTAATTATACATGTATGCCCAGTTTATATCGACACTTCCTTTAACATTTATATTGTAAGAGTTTCCTCCTACTCCCATTAATGTATTTTATCCGATTTACTTTGTTTGATTTACCTTTACACAGAGCTTTCGCTCATTGAACGTCTCAGTTCTTTCAGTGGTGGCATGAGTTTATGTTTTTCCTCTCTGATATAGAAATTTAAACAGTATCATTTATGATCTACACCCAATACAAGGGTGTACTGGTTATTATGTTTAGTAAACACCTACATTCCCAGAGTGCCGATTATAACAACCATATTCCAAGCTACTAGTGTGTTATTTTAGCTTTGATATATATTTCTAATTTATGCTTTTACTTTCATTTGTATAATGATTCTAGCAAAGGACTTTTATCCTGATCAATGTCGTGCAAACCATTTTTAATTTCTTTGTTACGTTTTTAAAACTTTTAAAGCACACTGAACACTGCAAATAAATCACTGATAATATCACATGAACACTTTCAACCATCACCTCAAGATGTGCTTCTATAGATATATGCAGGAGCACTCAAGTTAAACCACAGACCATTACTAAGCAAGCTGGATGGATTCTTCACATAAGAATTAAATTGGACTTAAACATGGTCAAACATTGGACATGGTTTGGTAAAAGATGTCTTAAGTGAGAGACCTAAACCACTTTGTCAATGACGGCTCAATTACCATTCAATTGAAAATGTAATAAGATGTATTTTCTGTTAGCTATTAAGACAGGTAAAAGCATCCTTAGCAATGGAGGATACAGGTATAGATAATAATCAGACTGGTGCCACACAGAATGATGTCAAACTTTATCAAGAAATTCTTGAAATCTTGCAGTACCTGAACCGTTTAACAGATGGTTTCAACCTTAAACAAATTGAAGCATTTTGTTGCTAAATAAAATCTTTTAATTATGGATATATAACAGGCTTTCTGATTGGTCCTTGATAGGTTAAAGGTTAATTTCATGCTTGACAGTTTCCATAGTATTTGTATTACTACGCCTTTTCTTATAAATAGTCGTTTTTGGCGCTATTTTGGTTACAGTTTTGTAACACACGTTTGTTGATTGATGCTTTTGGAAAAATTTGACATAATTGACATAACTGATTGCAATTGAGATATGCCATTAGCACAAGGTAGTCTGGCCATAATATATGCAGGCAACAAATATATTTAGTACAGTATATCATAATGATTAATCATGAGGTTTTACTAACATCAAAATTGAGGTCATAGATGGTCTTTTAATGGTACATTTTTGCAAGTTGACTATCAATAATATTATCAACATACATCTTATATAACCCTAATTATGCATACACAGCAAAGAGACAAAACAGCTTGGCATACAAAGTAAGACACACAGGACTGATTAATATGGGTTACAATGCAGAGATATATACTTCTATATATTCAAAGCAAGATAAATATTCTGTGTGAATTATATAGCAGCACACACATGAACACCTACAAAATGCTTCCCAGAGCATACATTTAAACACTCTTGTTATAGTTTGTGATTAAAAACGCACATAACAAATCAGAAATTACTAAGCAAATATTTTTTGATTCTGTATCAGTACAGATTCTGTTTCTCAACACATCAATACATCTTTTCAACATACATTTTATTTCAGTATAAAATTATGGTGAGTGTACATGTAATGGTCAAATTATCTCAAGAAGCTCTTCAACTAGTGAATAAGATATCCCAAGTGTAATCAGTCCTTTTTTCTACCAGACAAGATATATTTACAAGAAATTGATTAAGGTTAATTCTAACATAGTATCCTACATCAAAATAAGACAGAAAAATGTAAAAAAATATGCACAGGCACATGCAAAAATCAAGGTCTCAATATCATGAAACTGCATTTGATACTTATTGAAAGCAAGAATACAATACACTTAAACCTGCCAATGAAAGTTCATTTAAGAGCAAGGTGGTTATTGAAAGCAAGTTTTCTTGACATAATTACTAAATAATTACTAAATTGTAAAAGAATATACGTACTAGCTGTAATTGAAGGGCATTCTATATGTTATAATTCTATTACTAGATGGTCTACTGTGCATATTTGAATGTTATCTTTAATATTTGTGCTAAATATCATGTACACTGTAGGAATTCAACAAAATGATCACTGTAACTTCATTTCTCAACTTAAAATTTGAGCATATGGGAAGAACGCAAGCCTTGCATTTGCTTCTACGAAGTCAAGCACAAGAGCTATAGTTATATATCTACTGCTTATATGACTTGCTGCTGTAAAAATATTTACTGCTTTTTCAACATGACACAAAGCCTTTGCAGATCAAGTGAATAATGAATCAGGCTAGACATTTTATTCCAACTGTTTAAACTACATTTGCCAGCAATACAGCTGCCACCATTACCAATTAGCATGACGTTTATCTCTCATTCAACCAGTGCTCAGAAACAGCACCTAGCCTAAGTTTACTGCCTACGCAAGCCTACACATCCTATGGAATTGTAGTTCAACTAAGTAAAGACGGCTACACAAATGCATATCTGCTGTCCCATAGAAATAAATGCGTAAGCTGGAAAAGTTAATCCTCCAATGACCAGCAGCAATAACAACTTGTCCGTGATACCAATACAGAATCAGGCCACTAAAAGGCACATCTATACAGTCTGACCACACAATATTGCTAGCTTATTCAGAATTTTGATATTGACAAAAGCTTTTAGTTCAGCCAACAGTGTGTTAATGTCATATGACAAGTTTCAAGCTTTATTAGAAGCTCCCTTTTGTATATTAATCACAAATTTGCACACAAGAAGAACCAACAACCAATCATAAGCTAGCTGGGTACATGTAACTTCCTTACATGAAACACGGAGGAGACTATATGCTCCATATGTGCTCATTCTTAGGAGAGCATAAAAATGCATCGGTCCATGACATAAGTTGAAAATACTGTAGAACTAGTAGGGCGGCCAGTGATTGGAAGTTGACATCCTTAACCTTATGCCTCACAGCATAGAAGTCGCTGCATGTATGTAGAGCAATAGCATTTGAAAAGAAAAAGTTTAGCAAGGTGAAGGTTGGCCAAACTATAAAAAGCCTTCAAAAACTATTAATCTGACAGTTGCCTTTTCATATCTGTAAATATTTAAGACAAGTTTTTGTCCACAAATCAAATCAACTGTTACCAAAAGCAAGTCATTCTTATTTCAATTTAGGGCTTAATTGAACAAGACTGGTATAAATAAAAAGACAGAAATAAGCAACCTATTTAAATGTATCTGTAAAGATACCACTAAAGGCTTACTTGTTATTTTTTGTTGTTGCTTTCACCTGCAGACTTTAATATAATTAAACAATTCATATACAAGTTTGAAAGTAATGCTAAAGTCAATATCAATATCAAAAAAAAATAAGACTATCACGTCCAAATAAAGCCATGATAAAGGCAAGTGAGGAAATTCCATCATACTTAACTTATTCAAAAGCATAAATTTATTTCAGCATGAAATTGTTTTCATTTTTATCCTACAAGCTTATTTGGAAGGTAGTTTCAACCCATTTTTAAACTCATGCCTAAAATATAAAATTGGTACTTGGGACTTTGCTTCAACAGTTAATGTCTGTTTACGTACAAACAACACCCATTCCAAATGAACAGATGGCTATTTCTTTATCAAAATACATATACTTATTTATTGTTCAATATGAAAAAGCAACGGCCAATTTATCACTATATAAACATGATGACTTACCTTGGTGTCCTGGCCGCCCATGTTCGACTCCTTTCATAACCAGAACCAGGTGTATGCACTGGTCCTAATCTACTCTCTAACACTGAAACATACAAAAATATTAATACAATATCTTTATGTTTAATACAGAAAAAAGAAATATTAAGTAAAACAAGAATATTTTTTTATAATAAAAGTAGTGCCCTGAAAATAATACAGACTTGTACACCATTAAAAATATTATAGTCCCCACATTTCTAAGCTACAAGCATATAGGCTATGCTAATTGAAGTGTTAAGATAAAGATATTAAGATAACCATGGAATATTGATGCTTTATCTCATGTTGCTGCATGTAAGGACCTGGGCTTACTTTTGGGCTTATGCTTGATGATAATACAATACACATGACCTATGCAACACGAATATTTCAATCAATAGTAAAGTAAATGGAATATATTTATGATTATTATTTACATAAACATTAAAAAAGACACAAGTTGATTATAAATGTAAGTAAGCAATGTAATCATGTCTGCAATTTTGTCATGTTTTGTACAAAATAAAATGCCTATTAAGGTTGTCTGGTCTTGGTCAGCAGATGTTTGCTTGATAAAGTTATTATGTTAAGTTTAATTATAGTTTATACACACTAGACTTTTCTACTCCAATATTTATGAACAAATAAATATCTAAGTCAATTGTAACAGTGTCAGAGAGGCATTTTGTTGTCTCATTTAACAGATTTATACTTACACCCTCTTGTGACCTCTGGTGTCTGTGGGGTGTTCACATCTGGGTACATGTTTTCAGCCTCGTCACTGATAAAGTTGATCCAGTAATCCTCAGGTATCTCAAACAGACGGTCCATTACCATGGCCTGGTATTTAGTCTCGTTTATCAGCTGCATGGGCTCGGGTTCTGGGGAAGAGTGGCCTACGAGGGTGGGTCCAAACACACGGGCCAAGTTGTTTGCCGGCATCTTACATTCTGTGGTCTGTGACACCCTAAACACAGTAAAAGAACAACATTTCTTAATCACTTTTCCCATTATGATATATATATATTATTCATATAACAATTTTGTTTCTATGAAATAGTAATACAGTCCTGCTAGACAAGGGATCCTTGATATAAACTTTATTTTAATTTTTGTCTGCAGTTGGACCATTTTGTTGTTCTATTTTGTGCACATATCAACTACAGGTAATGCCTAGTGTTATAAAACAAATTATTATTTATTTAGGAAATAGATGTCAATTTTGAGTGCGTTGTTGTAGAATAATGCATGGTAAATGCCCAGGACTGACAGGCTTGAGTGATTAATTACAAAGCATTTCAACGATAAACCGTGCATTATTATACTATCAAGAAAAATTAATATCTACTTCCATTCTAACATGCTACATTGAGTGCAGAAGTAACATTCTTAACATCATTTGATTTATTGATGTCATACATGATGTCATGTGGCATGTGAGCATTTGTTTTTTATGCTGTGCACTTAATAATAAACATGTAATAATGCTCTTGACTGCCCTTTTTGTTTGATAGGGGGAATATTTTGAAGCATGTTAGAATAGAAGGTAAATCACTGCATACCTGAGTAAATGAAGCATAAGGAAGGCTATTGTATCTCTATTGGCTCGTGGCAGCTCGCTCAGCGCCTGGTACATGTCTGACTCTGCCATTGCTTTGTCCCGATTTTCTATACATATATAATAAAGATGTTAACAATAACATGTATAACCTTTAATTTAGTTTAAACACATAACGCGAAGTAGAACAAAAATCCTTTCTCAACTTATTAGCACAATATTTTTTACTTGTTGTAACGTTCAAAGGCTTATTGCAAATAAATCCAACACCCAAAATAATTTTTTCCACTTTCTATGTAAGATAATTCTACAAGATCAAAATAATAATAATTCAAATAAGCTTGCAATATACCAAGTGTTATTATAATATCTCGTTTCAAATCTTGACTTGTTATCGACCGGAAACCACCTGTTTGAACCACACCCAAAGGCCAAATCACCAGCCATTTGACAAATCTAATAACCAGAATTTCCACAACTGAAAAACTGGTGAATTACTTGAAAATGGCCCAAGGATAATAATTTAACAACAAAAACTAGAGAACAAACCAGCTGCATGGACAAAATCTCTCCACAATCTGAATGTTACCAATGGCTCCTTCAGGCCTCGAAGAAAGTCCTTCAAACAGCCGCATATTACATGAATGTCATCAATATTTGACTGAAAGTAACAATTTGATATTTTAAAGAGTGTAAACCTCCGTGAATAACTTGTGAAACATGCTATATAAATATCAAACATTGGGCGATTTACATCAATCTTTCAATTTATGTGAGTTTTTTTTATCAAGTCACAGTTATACTTTAGATTATAGACTAACATTACACTTTTATTCCCTATATTTACTTCTACACCATTTATCATCATCTAGGAAGAATAAAAATGTTTTTTTATATTGTTCTTTTTTTTTTTTTTTTTTTTGATTATAGAGGGACAATCTACCATCTTATAAAGAAGGTTTATGTCTATCTAACATAATGAGTTCAAAGTAAGATGAAAATGGTGAAGTCCAACACTACAACACCAGATTTGGTTTAGGTTATTTATTTTCTACCAGTTTCGCTTCTATCTAACTAATGAGTTGAAGAATTACAAGGGCCACAATTATTCTATATATCTATATATTCATTTTCTCTTACTTGTATGTATCCAATAAAGAAAGTTAAAAACAAAAATATCTTACTTACCAAGTTTGGCATGCCTTTGCCCTTGAAAAACTTTTCTTTCAGTTCCTTAACTTGTCTGTCAGATCTGCAAACGAAAAAAATCAGATGAAAATTTCCTTTTTTTCGCATAAACTTCTAATAAATACTGTATATATGCAATCATAAAATCATCCCCCTTGCCATGTTCTATTACATAAAAGTAAGTTTTCCCCCTTCACTCTTTCAAAATTATATAACTATAAATGGAACTATCATTTTCCATTGTTCTATAACGAGTTCTTTGAGTAATTAGGCTGATCTGAAAATTAATATAAATTTAAATAACTTCAACTCTAGATAAGTAACAAGTTGGACCAAATAGACCATAAAAATACATATCTAGGCTAAGAAGTATCAATACATCAACCCATTGGATGAATCATGAAATTCTTTGCTACTTAAAACATGCATTTTGTTAAGCTACACATGTCCTGTTTTCTACATAAAGCAAATCATTTAAAACTATAAATGTGACCATCGGCAAGTTACACTGTTTTGTCAGTCGACGGAGAAGTGTAAACTTATATTTGCTCACCTTAATGAAGGCATTTAAATAGAATATTCTTTTACAGTACATTAAGAAATCTATGCATATGTGGTAAAATTTTGAACATTACATCACAAAATAACTTGCATAATCAGTATTCCTGAAATCACCCGATCTTTTTAACATGCAGTACATGACAATATAGTCTTTTTATATATGAAAGTGGATATATCTTAAATCACAACACTGCTCAAATTGCAATAATTAATTGGATACTTTTTGATTGTTACTATTTAGAGTAACATGTTTATTAGTATTGTATATATACCCTGGTACCCTGTAGATTCCTACTTCATTAAGTCCCCGAGCCTCTATCTCATTCACACAATGAATCTGTAAATCAATGACAAAATGGTCATTAGAAAAAAACATAAATCTAGAAATAATATTAATTTCATTTTAAATGTAAGTTAAGGAAGCACAAAAAAACTGCAGTCACTAACTGAAAATTTCATCTCCATATAAAAGTTACACCTTACCAAAGCAAAATAAATGAAAAAGATGTTAGATGCGAAGAATTTAGTCAGATATAATAATGCAGATAGAAATTAAATTCTTATTTCTCAGTCAAGTCAATCAATACTGTTACCGTGTTTATGTTCTATTAATAAACATTGTGACTTTACAGCTTTTACTGGACCTCCATGAGGTGCCACACCTGTCCATTACTATAAATGAAGTTAAGAGAAATATGGATGATTATCACAAAAGATGAGAGGACTTACCACTATGCCTGGAATCATTGGGCATTCATCTCGGCAATAATCAGACAATATCCCCTGAAAATATACATATTATTTGATAATTCTAATCTTTATACTTTCGCAGTCAAAACAAAAGTGTAACTTTGCCAGGTAAAGAAAGCAATAACAAACTCAACTATGTGATCTCAAAATCTCTACATAATTTAAATATGGACAGTTTCAATTTCAAATAAGGCAATGTCCATTACATAGATGAAGTGATGAGATGTTGATTACAAATATATATTGCACTTAAACATGTCTGGCTGAGCTAATTTACATGTAAGTTTTTACTGTGAGAATATTATCTGAAGTGTAAGCTATATTTGACTGAAATTTTATTTCTATATTTATAAGTTCCAAGTCCAAATATATAAATCCTACAGTTTTATCATTTATGTTGCTGTTTTTTTGTTTTGTTGTTTTTTCTTCTTCAAATTTACAATAGTTTTGTACAGATCATGTTTTAATTACAGAAATTTTATAACCATATGCTGCAGCCAACAATACAATACGTAAAATCAACATATACATACTGGAGTCTGGCCTGGCTAGTATGGCTCTTAAGTCAGGAGGTTTTTAACACTTCCTGTGTTTTGAGAGTTATATAAATAAAGATCTCACCCCTTGTACTTTACCGGTTCCTGGAGTGGGTGGTGCTGATATGCAAGGCAACGGCAGGTTATCTTTACAATCAGGGTGACAAATTGATCTGCAATCTGTAATACACAAAACATTGGTCATTTTCACACACAGACATCAATTTTAAAGAAATATAATTTTAAAATCAATTAGAATTTTCTGTCGCACATTAGCCACATGTTTAAAATCACTAAAATATGTCTGTAGCATTAATGATTTATATATTGGAAATCTGGTCATGATCATTAGATAATAAAAGAATTGGTTTGATGCAGATGCGCACTTATCAATGAACCAAACATGTATCACCTAAAATCATAATTTTCAAAGATTAAGATTAACTGTAAAATATCAACTGTTTATAAAAGTTTTTGTGCATTGGCCTAGAAAAACATTGAACTCAATTACTCCTGAAAGAATTGCCAGTCCTTTTTTTTAAATAATAATACAAACTTACCTTTACATTTCATAGCCAATCTTCCAAAGCCAATTCTCTTTCCACACTGTAAAGGTAAACACAGACATGTAAATAACAAATTTACATACTTAGACTTATCAAGTAAATTTAAGGACTATTTTATAAGTGTAAAGCTCTTTTAAAGACAAGGACTCAGGTACTTTGAAGATGATACTTTTATACCATTCAAATGACTAAAAACAAATTCACATACCACTTATGTGAGAATCAAATAATGGACAGGAAAGATAAAACAAAACAAAAAGTGAATGGGGCCAATATTTTAATTTTCTGAAAAAAAAAAAAGAAGTTAAAATTGAAAAAGAAAAAAAAAACTGGAATATTGCATAAAATATGTTTAGGAAGAAGACCGAACAAAATTAAACAATATGTTTGCCCATAGGGCATAATTTGAATAAAATCATACCGGTACACAAGTCCTCGGTCTAATCACTGTCTCCGAGATAAAGAAGTGAATTCTGTTCAAACCTTTGCTAGCAGAATGTGCTTTCCTCAACATCGGTGTCCTGATGACAAATAAAGCATGACAAACTGTATTAACAAAACTGTACTTATTCAGATCTAATGTTGGCTTACTTCAGACAGTATTAACTCTCTAAAAGCCAAGGACAAACTGACTTTCTAACTAATGCCAGCATGCCTATATACTACAGGCATAGCAACATTATACTTGTTGTTAATATTCCAAGATTAAGCAATAACACGATCAAGTAAATCTGTTGCGATATTTACAATGCTTGAAACTTCAAGAAATGTATATCCTGAAACATAAAAGGTATCTTGTCATTTTCTTACACAATTATTACAAATATATTTGTACACTGTAAAGTAGACATTCCACCCCCCCCCCCCCCATTTAAATCTTTTATGTCTTTTATGGTGAAATAAATGAATATAAGCTTTTCTCATTGATGTCAAATATTGCAACAACTACACATGATGGATCTTAATTACTCTAGTCAACAGAATTTATAAATGATTGACTTGAAGACTATCAAAGGCCAATTATGTGAAAAACAACTACTACCCTAAAACCTTAATCCTATATCAGCAACTAAAACTTATGAAAGTGTTCATAAGTAGGTTAACATCATAGATCACATGAGGTCAAACATTTGCCCCAAGCATTTACTTTTTTCTAAGTACACAATCACGTGTCAACAAATAAAACTTACGTAGGTGTTCCTCTCAGGGTGCTCTTGCTGGCGTTTGTGTTCATATTTCTTGGCGTCCATGGATCAGCATCTGATTCTGTTTCACTTTCTACAACATGATCATATTTTCTAGTTAACTTTTATGATAGAAAGATAAACAATAAGGCATGAATGAAAATTGTTTTTACTTACTAAAAAAGCTACAATACTTAATAAAAACTTTTTCCAATTAAACGCTGGATATCAAATATGTTATTCAGTTAAGTGTAGATGAACTTGAAAACAAGTTTTACAAAATGACATGTACAGTCATATTCAAATACACATTACTTTAGTTGAAGAAAGCAAAAATTACAAACCACACAACACTGGGTCATTTGCAAAACCAAAATTATAAACAATTGTACACATAACAAAACCTTTTCGGCATAAGAAATGTGTCTGATAGTCAGACAGGTAGAAGAAGGCCAGATGCCCTCTGAATTTTGTGTGCCTCTTAGGATGCTTAGACAAGAGCTGTCACAGGAGACAGCGAAGCTCGACTAATAAAATACTGGACGCAGTAAGGAGGACAAAACTATGAAAGAAAAATCAATTATGTATAATTACGTATTAAGTTATAGTAAAAAAATAACATTTGTTAACATAAATTCCAAGATCAAGGGGAATAATTCTAGAAATAGTCATGCTAGAGTTATGGATCTTGCCACACAACATTTGTGTAATGATAAGAAATATATTTTTGAAGTTTGAAGTAGATACCTTAAAAAGTAAATAAGTTATTATATTTCTTAAAGAAAATCCTAAGTTCAAAGAGAGATAAATCTGTAAATATTGCTTCAAGAGTTATGAACATTGTCACATAAAATGTAATTAATGATAAGGTATAAGTATTTGAAGTTTGAGGTAGATACCTTTAAAAATAAAAAAGTTAAAATAAAAAATAACATTTTTCTAGTAAATAAATCTAAGTTTATGGGGAGATAATTCTTGCAATATTGGTGCTAGAGTTATGAACCTTGTCACATAAGATGTGGATGATGATTACGTAAATATATTTGAAGTATGATGTTGATCCCTTTAGAAATAAATAAGTTACAGTAAAAAATAATATTTTTTATGGAAAATTCTAAGTTCAAAGGGAGATAAATCTGAAAATATTGGTGCTAGAGTTATGAACCTTGTCACATAAGATGGGGATGATGATAACGTAAATATATTTGAAGTATGAGGTCGATCCCTTAAGAAACAAAGAAGAAACAGTAAGAAATAGTATTTTTTGAGGAAAATTCTAAGTTCAAGGGGAGATAAATCTGAAAATATTGGTGCTAGAGTTATGAACCTTGTCACATAAGATGGGGATGATGATAAGGTACATATATTTGAAGTATGAGGTTGATCCCTTAAGAAATAAAGAAGTATCAGTAAAAAAATAGTATTTTTTAAGGAAAATTCTAAGTTCAACGGGAGATAAATCTGAAAATATTGGTGCTAGAGTTATGACATTTGTCACATAAGATGTGGTTGATGATAACGTAAATATATTTGAAGTATGATGTTGAACCCTTAAGAAATGACAAAGTTATAATGAAAAATATTTTACTGCACCAAAACTTTAATCTTAAATCTGGACGCGGACGCCGACGCCGGGTCGAGTTGGACAGCTCTCAATATACTTCGTATAGTCGAGCTAAAAAGCATAAAATAAAATAAATTCTTCAATTTCTTTAATCCAAATAAACATTTACCCATCATATGTTTGTCCAATGCAGGTTCGCTAAAACTTTTGTTAAGCTTACGACCAGCACTTGGTACAGATACTTCTGTTGTTGCCTCGATTGGCCGGCCATCTGCCGTTACTGTGATTGTTGTTGTTGTCACCACTTCATTCTCCTACAATAATAGTAAATAGACAATTTTCTAATTTGGGTTTGATTTAAATTCAAGCTGTCAAATTATAACTTTACAGTCTGCACTGGTAGATGAAGATCTCTGATCCTCATCACACATTATATCAGGTACAATCTTAGAATAGGTAAGTGTCATGATACATTATGTGTCACACAATTTTTAAAGGATTTATGGAAAATTGTGTATTACCAAAACTATAGCATGAACTTATATTACTGTATTGTGTCTAATACTTATTACAACTTGCTGATAATACAATTATTTGGTTAGAAAGATTTTATCATACCTCTATAGTTTTGTGTCTCTTTGGCGGCGTCACATTCATGTCTTCCTGTGGCGGAGCTGACGGTCTCTTGTTGCGCTTGCTACGTCTACGACGCCCGCCACACGCTGGTTCGAGGTCCTCTTCTGTCTTATCCCAGTAATCTATGTCCTCATCCGACAGTACAGAGTGGTTCGACTCGTTGATCCTTGATAACCTACAAACACAGACAATGACATGTATGCAAACATGCAGATTAATGATTTATGTTCATGTTATATCAGAGAATAATCTTATACTTTTACTCCTGTTGATTTGTTTGTTTTGGGTTTTACGTCATACCGACACAGTATAGGTCATTTGGCAACGTTCCAGCTTTACTGGTGGAGGAAGACCTCAGGTGCCCTTCTGTGAATTATTTCAGACACCAACGGGCACCAGAGTAGTTGTTCTCCTGTTGGAGATGAATCATTTGTGAAAACAGGACACATGTAAGCACATTCTTATAGGACATTATCACCTTAACAGAAAACTACAGCCTTCATTTTTATTCAAATTACAACACTCACTAGTAAAATGGTCTGATTGATGAAGGGATAGCATACTTTTTTATATTTATATATTTAGCTACAATTGCTTTGAAAATTAATATACCTTTTTGGTGGTGAGTCTTCGTATGTGGATCGTTGAGCTGTTGTGCTTAAGAACGCCAGTCTCTCCCTGTCATGTTGGTCTAATTTATTTCCGTGCTTGCTGTCCATCAGTAATTCACGGATCAGAGCAATCTGTCGCTCCTATAAGGGTAAAAGTACAATTATAATCAATGTCAACTGTCAAATGTGATTAAAATAGACTTAAATACAAATAACTAAATATAGAGGATATTGAATGAGTGTAGTTTAATACTAAATTTATTTAGCCTCTGGCGAGCATAATATTGTTTTATTCAACAAGTTCAATAAATTTAGTATTGAATCTACACGAATATAATATTCTATTTATCACATAATATAAAATAAGAACAGTAAACTGTAAAAAAGAATATTTTTTCAACGACACGCCTATAGTGTAACGCTAACATTAGCGCGCTTTAACGCTATGTTTCTATATAGCGCAAATGATGTCACGCCAAAGTGTTATTACACTAGTGTAATATTGTTTTTATTAAATGGCTTTATTACACTCCTGTGCCGCGGTTTATGTGATAAAAAGAGATATGAAAAGTGACAGTCAAATTAAGTTTGTTCAAAATTATATTATAATGTTATACACCTACCAGCTGCTCCTTATCATGTTCAACTTTCAACCTTTTCTGTTCTTCTTTTTCTATCAAGTTTCTACAAAAATTCAAAATCAAGTTTCTCAACATTAAAAATTTTAATTTCAATAAACTTGAACAATTATTCTAAGATAAGTAAACTTTATTCAATAATTTTGTGTTTCATTTTACCTGATAGCTGTATATTACTTTACTTTAACACACAGGTATTTAGATGTGTGATGGGTATAAATAACAATTCAAGTAATGTTAAACTAACAGTTAAGAAAACCAAATTTTGGCAAAATCAAATTTTGCAGCCATGTAATATGTAAAACTACTTTGCATGAACTATTATTTAAGGTTCCAACATTCACAATTATACTTTACAATAAAGATGAGAATGATAAAATAATGTCTTCAACAGTAGATAACAGAATATTTAGACATATTCAATGGTATCACAACCGTTAGAAAGTTCATCATAAGTGAAGAAAAGTTCATCAAATGCCAGGACAAACTGGAAGATTATACCGAACATTAACAGTTACACTACTTTCAAAAGTAAAGCACTGCCATTTATAACAAATGAAAAATTCTCATTCTATACCTTGCATGTTTAAGTTTAGCATCCAGTGTTTTGTTCTCAGATTCAAGGGAGATCATCTTCCCTCTCAGATGCTGAAGTTCCTCTTCTGATGTTGCCCACTGTCTTCTGCATGATTGCTGGTTCTCCACAAATGTTTTAAATTCTGAGAAAAAAGTATCACCGTTAAAGGTACTTTCTTATATTTCTTTAAAAGGAATAGTTCATTATTTAGTTGAGACATTTTTATGTTTAACTCTCATCTTCATATCCCCAAATTGATTATCTACAGTTCCAAAAATGTAAGCTAAACAATCCTATTTAAGAAATTCAGCTAACCTGCTTAAGTTTAATCTTAGCAAAAGTGATAATGAATTTTTTATTTCTAACATCTATTTACATCTACATGATACTCCTGAGCAATCAAAACTGACTATAACTGGGAGACACTTGTCAGGAAAACTATATTAAAAGTAGTCAAGTGTTTTGTTAGAAAGATAAAAGTTAAATAAAAAGAGTGCAAGGTTAAGAAACATACTTGTGGGGACTAGAAATGGGCTGTAGTCACTAGTCTATTCTAAATATTACTACACTGGAAGTGGATTTGACCTGGTATGGGAGATTATTCCAGCGCCTAAGAGTTCTAGGGAAGTATGACCAGGGGTCTATCTATCTCTGAACACTGCCAACCTTTCTAGTGATTGTTAAAGGCAAGTAATAAGTGTATGGATTGTAAGTAAAAGGTAAAGAAAAATATATCCAGATATTGTAAACAACATTAAACATGCCAGGAATGACGAGAGTTGAAATGTATTCTAGTCATGTTTAAATTTGAGTGACGAAGAATTTAGGATCAATAAGTTAAAAACACTGGTAACAATACCTGGTTCTATTCCTGCTGATAAAACCTTAGCATTCCTCATCAATTCATCAAAAGCTGCCATTAGACTCAACTTGGAATCCATCTGTAAATGAATTATACTTATGTTATCATAAATGGCCTAGACAAAGCTTAAGATCACTAGCACCGGCCTATACTAGCTTAAGCAGTGATTTTTTCATTGTATTTTACAGCCAAATATAAAAGGCTGTTTCCCCTAGCCCAAAATAGATATATTTTCCCCTAAAAATGCTAATATTTTCCCCTAAAATGCCCTTTGCACATTATTCATCAGAACCATGACTTGACAGCAGCTGACTTATATCAGCTAGTAGACAGAAAGCTATCCCTATAGATAGCCTCTGCTGTGTACCATGCATGTTACATTGAATTAAAATTCTCAACTGTTGAAATTTGATTTCACCTTTTCTGATTAAATATCGTGCTAAATTTTCCCCTTCAGAAAGCCACAGGTTGTTTTAAAAACTGCAAAAAAAATCACTGTTAAGGTCTTCAGCGTACCCTTTTATATATGACATGACATGAAGGCTGAAGACAGACCCATAGAGAAAGTCCACGAATAATAGTGTCAGGAATATAACAAGCTTATGTATACATTCATTTAATAAACATGCCATAAAGTGAAGCATACCTTGATAATCTGTTGATAAACCAAGGATGGACATATAAAAAACTTATTACAAACATAAACTAAGTAAGTGTTTCTGACAGGTAAAAAAAACAGCACTTGTCTAGGCAGCCATATTGCCGAAATGTTTGACCATGTGATTGCGAAATTGACCTTTTACAGATTAATTTCCAGATTGTTAAGAAAACAGAAGTCTGAACTAATGTGCCTCAAACATTTTTATAAATTACTTTTTAAAAGATATTAAAAAGGGTGATTTACCGACTTTTGTATTCAATATGATTTTATTTAAGTACTAAATAATAAAAGAAATAAATCATTATCTTGAATTATACATATATTGAAATCATGTCAACAAAGCTAGATGTTCTAAAGATATAGTTCATGACTTAGTCCAACAAATTGTACTCCGCAACGAGATATTGTGCTATTTTCGTGCCTGGGCAATATCTCGTTAAAGCGAGATTCTGCCCCAGAACAAAAATATCTCAGAATCAAGCTTTGGCACGTCAATATATTTTGACTACAGTAGTACATGACTCTAATCGGGTCCCTCAAATTACATCATACTGTAGTTGGCGTAATTGATGTTTCACAGTTGAATAGCTAAAAATCCCAAGGGTGTTAACCAGGATTGAACCCGGGACCTCAGGAGAGACAGTCAATAGTCTAACCAACTGAGCTATATCATGCCACCTTTTCGTAACGGGTCTTACCCAACACCTTAATGCCGTAGTCCAATAGATAAGACGTTACAGGCTTGTTATAGTTTTATGTTGGTCAAGCGTGACGTCTAATAGTTATTGCTCAACAACGCGTAGCATTTTGAAAATTTAAAAAAATGTCTGTTCACTTGCCTTTCAAGTTTTATTCAAAAGCTTATCTTCTGTTCTTTCAAATGCATGGTATATCATTAACAAAAACTTTCAAACAATGTACTTATTATTAATTAAAAATAAAATATACATATCAGTTTATTTCGCTCATCGGCCATACTGGTTAAGTAAAGCGTTTTACAATTCCAATTTTTTTAACGGAAAAATATATTCGAACACACTGACGGTGCATGAGCAAATTATTTCGTTGAAAAAATATTCCGTTAGAAACTTCTGGACTCATTTAAACGCTTGCATTTGAATTAGCCAATCAGATTTCGCGCACTGTATGGCGGCCATTTGTATACTGGCTGTACAAGGAATTTAATTAAATGAGAGGATATAATCATGACTTTTCGGATGTGACAGTTTAATTATTTTGTTAAAAGGTATTTATTTTTCAGTTTTGTTCATAAATAGGTCAAAATTAATGTGAATACACGCTGTTTTAATTGTTTAAATTCATTAGATCTAAATCGATGTCTAATGTCACAGATCTACATACAACTCCGTGCTAATGTCAATTTTTTTGCTACACGATTTTGCAAAGATCTGTTAAGACCTAACGTAACATGGAAAATGAAAAATGAAAAATATCAGATTAATGAATGATAAATATGAAAGGTTACGTATAGGTTTTATAATTAGGACTACTTAATGCCGCATCAGATGGAAAAAAAGAATGAAAAAAGGTGTCTTATAAAAATTTGGAAGCCAGAACTGGGGCCCAAACCTGCTAACCAAAAGTTTGAATCAGGGTCAGCTAGGCCCTAAAACGTACTTGGCCACCCAAGTCAGCTTGGCACAATTCCAACTCTGCACAAATTTGACAATTATAAGACAATATACCAGATATCTCTTTATTTTTTCATTTTAAACAGCTTACCCTGATAACAAGCAAGTTATCAGAAAAAGTTAATAAGTTTATTGTGTTGTTTTGTTTTTATTAAAGTGGACCCAGTGTCACTGTCAGTGAACTGTGCCGATTTGCCTGAAGATCTTCACTTCTTGCCGTACGTGATAGCCTATAAAATCAAAATAAATTAACTCTAAATCAAAAATTCGCCGTATCAATTAAAAACTAAACAAAACATATGATACCGAAAATATTATGTACATTGTTTGTCTCACTCCTGAAACATAAAACTTTTTATAAAGGAAACAGGTGGGGTATTTTTGACAAAAAAAAATTATTCTAACGACCGCATAATTTGTTTTATTCACATATAACAAAATTTTGAATTCACTTGAACATACAGATTTATGCTAAAAACATTCTAATGTCAACTTACTTTGCGTTTCATTGCAATTTATTGTACTTTAGATAAGAAATTCATTTAAATAGTAGCTCCTTGTTCCCGGTTGTTGATTTGAACACAAATATCAGTCAGCCAATCAGATCACTTGACGCATACTTCCGGTTTGCGATAAAAAAAAAACGAGAGTTGTCGTTCGTTATGTAAAAAAAAATAAATAAAAAAAATAGGAAAATATGTTGTAAACGAAGGGCAATGAAACCATATTAAGTTGAAAAAATACTAATTCAAGTTCATCAGCTTTATTTATGTTTAAAATATACAGGAATTTGTATTATAGTATATCAATTTACTTTGCGACCAGTTATGCTATAAGGTAGCGTGGCCGAGCGGTCTAAGGCGCTGGTTTTAGGCACCAGTCTCTTCGGAGGCGTGGGTTCGAATCCCACCGCTGCCATAATATTTTTTATTTTTAACTTTCAAAATTATATTAACACACAAAGAAAAGTATTCAGTCACATCGTAATAATCGAACGATCTTACAGTACCAAAATACAAACAAGACATGTACAAGGTCATATATTTCACATATAACTGTCATAGTGATATATGGGAGAGGATGTTGCTGATTCCCATAGAACTTATTCATCTTGTGTGTATTTTGCAAAACAAAAAGATATAACATTAAGTCTAAACAAGGGGCTGTAGAATTCATTTTTAATCATATTCCATATTAACAGTGTCTGGAAAGCACCGTACGTGTATTCCATGGTTAAAATTCAGCATTAAAAGCTTGAAAAAGAAATAAATGCCAACTACTTTCGAAGATAAAGTACATGCATAGAGAAGGCTGGTGTTCTAAACTGTCTTTAAAAAAGACAACAGTGCAGTGGCCATGTTTCATATAGAGTAGTCCCTTGTAGCAGTTATCCTTCTTGCATGTCAATAAGAAATATAATAAAAATGTTAACCCAAATTAGACAGCTGGTCCCGAGGCGATGCAATAAAACAAAGACTACTTAAAGAAAGTGCTCTATTAATTGCACACATAATAACAATATTGTGTAAAAAAGTTTTTTTCTTCTGGTACAATTCTGGCTGATAAGAAGGAGGCATTTGTCTCACCAATATTAAGTGTCTCAAAAGTTTCCGGCTGATAATTACAGACAAGTCTCATTGACTTACTGCATGCTTAGTGTTCAACAATTTTACAGTTGGACACTGCAGCTGCGCTTTCCTCTTTTAACTGCATCAGGCGGACCAAGTGCAAGACTGCGATTTCACTCCTATATAAAATATTGGGACTGAATCAAATGTGATATGTCGGTGCCATTCCATGGCGTACATGTATGGTCCCCAAATAAAAGGATGAGTGTGTCCTAAACAAGAAAATTATGGACAGAACTATGTAAAGTAGTTACTTGAAGCCGTCAAATCACATGCAAGACGTCGAAGTCAAAAAGCAAGCAACACATCGTAAGGGTGAATATACAGGGAACTTAAAACACCACAAACATATATACAAAAATAATCAAATAAAAATAAGTAAGCTGTGATAGATCTTTAGCTAGATCAACTCTATTTTTTTTTCCTACTGTATGAACCCTCAACCATAAAACTGATTCAAAAGCATGAGCGTTATGTATAATGCTTATTTTGAAAAAAAAAGGTATATATCAAAGTTGAAACAATATAAAATGTATGTTTGTTGGATAAGGAAACTCGGCCCATATTTCAATAGACAACATGTTTTACCGAAGTTATTTATAATAAAAAAAATTTTATTAATTGATAAAGATCCAAGTACATTAATTACTATTTAATGTAATTTTATACAATAAAAACAATGTTTTTTTTATCCTTTTTAACGCAATTTGTAGAATAAAGATCTCCTCGAGGTCACATGTTATGCAAAAAGACTTATATTTGATTGTGGAAAATACTGTATATAGATATAATAATTTGCCACATGAAATTCGGTCCATTAATTCCTCGACTATATCATCCCTTGTACAGAAACAAAAAATAGTCGCTATACAGCGATATAAAAATTATGCTGATAAAACATACAGACAACGTTTAGTCCATAAAAATACCAGACACATGGTCCATTAAATACTAATAGTTTCTTAGCACAAAACAATTTTATCTTCAAAGAAACAAAGAAGTGAAAGAGAAAGCTTAAGCGTCACATGCATTCGTGTACGTCAATTTGTCCAAGAAACCTACGTTTATTTTCTCTTATACATGTAGTCATTCAATTGTACAAAAAATAAAATAAAAAGAAAACAAAATGATTTCACAAATCTAGAAGTCCTGGCATACTGTAAAATTTCTTCTATAAAAGAGTTACAAGCGAACTAGTTAAATAGACAAAAGTGGACAAATTATTAGTGACAAAACATATAGTTTATAAATATGCACCGATGTCATTGTCGGTTACTGTAAAATGAAATAAATGGGTTCCCAAAATGTTTCGAATTCAGTTACTAGTATTATATAATTAGGGAAAAAATCAACTTTTGAAAAATCAGCAGTACTAGCCAAACATAAAATTTTGCACTGAGGCGACGTAAATGTATCATGCACCGGAACAGATATATAAAGTAAATGAAAACAACGTGTTATTTGTAACACATAAATTGCAATGAAAACAAGAAACAAATTATTATTGAACAATTATATCATTAGAATAAAGAAGAGTTTTTTTATAATTATAAAGCCTTTAAAAAAAGCTTTTTTTAAATAATCTATTGTCCAGATCAACGAAAATCAGTCTAGATCGAATTCGGTTGTCATGAGGAATTTAAAAGAAAAACGGGGACCAACGACATACATTATTTTATGTGTTTTTAAAATCTTACTTATGTTTTGATACCAATAATACGACGGTCTCAAATAAATCCGTCAAATCGCACTTATAAATTTGTGAAAGCCAAACCAACTCCCAAAAAGGAATAATTAGAATATTACTAATTAAAACCTACGATCAGTTCATGATGATCAATTCAAGTACAAGTACGTTTTTTAATTACTTTTTTTGACATTTATGTGTATATGTATATTTCGAGTTTTCATTTTTAAAAGCCTTATTAAAAATACTCGAATCAAATTATTGTAATAGTCTGTATTAAACGTACTGAGCTGACCGTTTGCAACTGGTCTGGCATTCGTTCAATTTGTATTCCTGAGTATTCCTCTAAAAAAATGTTTTGCACTGATGAAGGCATATAGCCGAAACGTATGCAATAAAAAATTATTACTGAATGTTCGTGTTTCTGTGGCTTGTCTGTTTATTTTTTTTTTGAGTATTCCTCTACTATATTAAAATTTATGAGAAGGAGAATATTAGATAGAATTCTTCGGCCACTATCATCGTTGGACAAATGTTGCATAATAAATCTCTGTCTGTTCTTTTGTGACATCTACAGTAAAAAGAAATATGCCCACAATGAATGGATTGTAATCTTAAGAAGAAATTACGCATTGGCCTCCTATCTTATCCACTCATACTTTACAAAATGTCGAAATTGTAGGACTATTTTTTCTGATTTTGCCAATTAACTCACGCAAACAAATCAGATATAAAATATAAATTATTTCCTTGTTGCATAAAATGTGTGCTCAAATGAAAAATTAAATACGATATTATAACTACAAATATTTCATTTTTCATATCAATTAAACAAAAAGTTCGAATTTTCAAAATTTAAGTCGTTCATTTAAAGGTGAATAGAAAAGACATGACACGTTATTTACACTGGTGTTCGTTCATTTGAAATTTGATGGAATATGTATGAATTATACTGGCTTACTGTTGTTTCTTTTGGATTATCAATAGTAAACAACTCAACGACAGGGCGTTTTCTCATCAAAGTTACTGTGTTAATTTTGAACAATCAAATACAAATAGTTCCTTTTTATATATGTGTTTTTTTCGAGTTTTCATGTCCAAAAAGCTTCATAGATACGCAAATCAAATAATTGCTATAGTATGGATAATATGATCATTTGTGATATCGGCTGGCTTCCGTTCAGTTTGTCTACGTATTCAATTAACACTTTCCAATTTATGACACAAAATACTCCCGCCACTATCATCATAGGACAAAATTGCAAAATAAATTTCTGTCTGGTCTTTTGTGGCATCTACCGTAAAAAGAAATATGTCCACAATTAATATTTGACAATCTAAAGAAGAAATAATGCATTGACCTTATATCTTAACCACTCATTCTTTACGAAATTTTAGGACTGCTTTTTTCTTTCTGATTTTGCCAATTTACTCACAGATCAAACACAGATCAGATCCTTGTTACATAAAATTGCCTGGTCAAGTGAAAAATAAAATGTGATATCATAACAACAAATATTTCATTTTTCATATCCATCAAACAAACAGTTTTTAAGGTTACAAATTTACAATCTATTTTACTGTCGTTCGTGTTGAAGGTGTTTCTGAAAGAATAAGAGAGACGTGCCTACTTATTTACACAGGCATTCGTTAGTTGAAATTTGAAGGTATATATTATATGAATGAAACTGGCCTACTGTTGTTTCTACTCGTTAACAACTAGGGCGTCGTCTAATGAAGAAATAAAAAAAAATGGATTCTCGAAAGAATGAGATTGCAAATGACATCTTTTGATGTATTTGTTTCAAAAGACGCTTTTTAATAACTCTGAAACCAAATTTAGGTAAATAAATGTATCACATATTTTTATTTGTTTTAACTATTCTTTGAACTAGAGGGCTACCCTCTCCAAATGATTTTTAGCCCCATTACATGCAAATAAAATTTTCGAGGTCAAATGACATTTGGTATCTTGTCAACAGCCAAATGAAATCACAAAGATATTCCCTTCAATGCTCAGAAAGCAAGTTAAACACTTAGGCCCATTGACTTCTCGACCCCTTAGGATATTAACATGACTTCTAGACTCCTTGAGTCTTAGACCCCTTTTACATGACTTTGCGACCCCCTATGGGGAACTTCTGAAGGCCAGTTAGATGCTTCGAGGAATAATGTAAGACAAATCGCAAACATTTTGATTATTTTTATTGCAATATTCATCTAATTAAGCACAACTTTGCTTTGTTTTTTGCGACGGACGCGCCCTCAGGCGCGTTCAGAGCT